CTAAGTTTTGAGCGTGACCATTGCAATAATCTCGAGGCTTTCAGTATTTCACGAAGCGCCACGAGTATGTTACCTACGACTTCATGCCCATTCGAAGACGTAAGATTCTTTGAGCTTACACAATCTAGGAAAGCTGAGATATTGGTGGTCTGAACCTCTCCAGGGGAGGCAAATCTTCTAACTACTATCCTGGATAGCACAAGATGTAGGTAAGTGTAGTAGAATTTAGGTAAATTGAGGATAGATTTAGAGGGCCTTTGGACTATAGTGTCGTCTTTGACAACTTGATCTACTGTTGGAAGTTTTCTTGCTCCCTGATGCCTCATTCTTGACGATCGCAGGGCTCCACTTTGAAAAGCCAGATGGTGTTGTGAGATACGTTAATGAATCAGATACGGCATGATTTTCAGAACCCTGGCGGATCTGTGAGATCAATCAATACAGGGAAAAGGGAGTCGCTCATAGGATGCAGAATTTTGAGGTCTTCAGGTTTGTAGGTAAAGCTTCATGATGATGCTGAGGCATATCGTCAATTATTGTTAGTAATTGCCCGCGGGAAACTATCGGCGCTAGAACTTGAGCCCGCCGCGGAAACGATCTTGACTATCTATCTATACTCAAATTGTAAGGTCGCCATCACCGTAAATACCGCTCATCAGTGAAATAATACCTCAGGTCCGTGATTCAGCTGAAGCAGAAGAAGTATAAAGTCGAGCAGAAGCTTCTCAGTGCGCTCGATATCGCTCCCCGCATTATTCGATTTGCCCCACGTTGAACACTTTGATCATACAGCCAAAGCAACTCAGACAGCTCTTCAAGATGGACTATTCACTGGAGAATCATAAAGCTTACATCGGAAAGCACGTCTCAGAGCTTCCTACACCATCGCTGGTTGTCAATCTGCCTGTTCTCAAGACGAATGTCGAGACGTTACATCGCGATGTTGAGAAGCTCGGCATTGGCTTCAGACCTCATGTCAAGACATTGAAGGTATGTTGCGCCTATGCAATTCTCGATAGATTATGAACTGACTCGATGTTCTACAGTCTCTTGAGGTGACACGGTTAATGATGGCGGATGGGAAATACAGAGGAATCATTGCCTCCACCATCCCTGAGATCAAAGGTGCTTTACCCCTGGTGAAAGAGGGCATCTTGGAAGAGGTGAGTTTCACCGAAGATTTATGAAGATGAGAAGTACTGAATATTCCGCAGTGTCTGTATGGTCTACCTGTCTATCCTGGTATCCTGCCCAGGTTGATTGAGTTGCGAAAATCGCTACGTATCATGCTCATGGTCGACAATGAGCAACAGGTCGAGTTCCTCGAAGAGTCGGCTTCAAGCAAGCAGCCCTGGGATGTCTTTATCAAGCTCGATGTTGGATCGCGCCGAGCAGGCGTTGAAGCCAACAGTGCTGCACTGAACCGCTTGGTAGAGAGCGCGCAGAAGTCGTCTGCTATTAGTATCTACGGATTCTACTGTCACGCGGGTCATTCGTATGGAGGTCGATCGCGAGACGAGGCCGAGAAGACGCTCAACATAGAGGTGTCGAGTGTCTTAGCCGCAGCTAAGCTTCTACCCTCTGATCGCCAGCTTGTCATCTCCGTCGGCAGTACACCAACAGCGCATGTCGTCGAAAGCCTCAAGGCATCAATGCCAGAGAACATCAAGCTCGAGCTTCATGCAGGCAACTTCCCTTGCAACGATCTCCAGCAAGTGTCAACTGGTCTTGTGACAGAGACACAACAATCCGTGTCTGTAGCTGCTGAAGTATGCAGTGTGTACCCGCAGAGGAACGAAGCGCTCGTCAACGCAGGTGTAATCGCGCTGTCGCGTGAGGCCAGCGCCTTTAGCGGATTCGGCCGAGTGGTGGGCAGTCCGGCGTGGGGTGTGGTCCGATTGTCGCAGGAGCATGGGATCCTGGGGACGAGCGAGGGACGAAAGGTCGATGAGGACTTCAAGGTTGGACAAAAGGTTCAGCTGTGGTGCAATCACGCTTGTATAGCTGCTGCTGCGTTTTACGTGTATTATGTTGTCGATGAGCAGGGCATTGTGAGGGACACATGGATTCCTTGGAAGGGGTGGTAGGGAATAAGCAAGTCATCAATTAGTCGACTGTCACTGAAACTTGATCAGCATCAACAAAGAATTGGCTCTTCTGATTCGCTCCCCCAGGTCCTGTTCCTGACTCCAATTTCTCCCGAGCCAAGGGAAATCCTGCTTCCTTGTTGAAGGAGAGCGTCTAAGTGGGTCTCGAGCCGCATACGTCATCGGCGAATTGCGGAAGCTCAGGTTCAAAAGGTGCGGGCTTCATGATCTGCGTCACATGAAGAGCCATCTTCTCTCCTCCATCTTTTCCTCGGTCACGATACTCTTGGTTTCTCTCGATCAAATTTACCCCTTGCGACAAATACAACAGGATAACACATCCCCAGCAACTCGAGTCTACTCTCTTATTCCCCTCTCTACCCCGCCTTACCATCAGTAAGTATACACGTCACTGTAGCGTATTTGTGCCCAACATCAGATCACTGACTCTATCACAGTGTCTTACGCCGACGTTGCTGCCAGTGGCCCCAAGCAGAGCCCTGAGGAGGTGAGTTGCTTTACATACAACATCATGTCTCTGCGACCACTCTTGCTAACCCCTCCAGGCTGCTGCCCCTCAACCTCCTCAGGTCATCACTGACGAGTCCGCCTCCACCGCCTCTTTGGTCGATGTTGATATGCCTAGCGTGCACACTGTCCCCAACGACTTCCTTGAGCAGGAGATCAAGACAGAGACCCAGGCTGCTCGCATAGAGCGAGAAGAGGAGGCTCGCGAGGAGAAGCGAAAGCGTGACGAGGCTGCTGCTAAGGCCAAGCGCGCCGACAACTGGCTCATCCAACAATTCTCTCGCCTGTCGGATGGAAGTGCTACTGGTCTTGTCATTGCCAACTTTGCTACCGTTGTCGGTCTTGGCGCATACCTTGGCTACAAGGGCTGGGGTCTCTACGAGAAGGGCAAGCTTGACTGGAAGGCCGTCACTCTCGGTGCTGGTATCCTCGCTGGCGTGACAGCTGCCGAGGGTGCTGTTGGACGATATCTGTACAAGGGCAAGAAGGGCGGCTCCTAGGAGTCGAGCGGCGATGATACCCTACAACGACGCCAAATGCCGATGTACCTCACGCTCTTCGAATACGTCTTCTTGAGGCCTTAAGCATCTAAACAAGCAAATCCTTGCCTTGTAATTGTTGAACGCTGAAAGGAACGAACGTTGTTCATGGATGACATGATATAGTTTTTTGTTTTACTGCATTTTCACTTTGTTTCATAATTCTCTACTCTGGCTGATACCAGGCTACTACTCATCTCTTACGTTTGGAGGCATAAGAATTGATACCTATATCCAACAATCCTATTCTCAAATCAAACTTCGCAGAAGTTGTTCGGAGATACAAAATACCAAAACATTGAGATGTGATCGTGTCTATTAATTTCGTGGCTTCTGTCCCTTCTCATCATACAGCATTGGTACAGATGGACAACCTCGTCCATTATCAAGATCCTAAATATTTTACAAAATGTAGTTCTTCACCTTAACAGCGCCGATATTTTACACCTTCTACTGCTTCTTCTCAGCCTTCTTCTTAGCTTCCCTCTCCTGCTCAATAATCTTGATCTCAGCATTGGCAGCAGTAGCATCATGCGCCTGTGAAGGCTCAACGAAAACCTCCTTTACGGGGACCTCGGTCTTGTGCATATCCTGCCACAATTCTGGGTTGTGTGGCTTCTCTATGGGGGTAGCGACATCCTGAACATTTCGGGATCCGTTAACGAGGGTTTCCTTCTCGGCTTCATTGGAAGTCGCTCGGGGAGTGGCTTGTTGATCGGGCTCAGCTGCGGCAGAGGAATCTTCGGGGAGGGACTTGAAGTCGGTAGCGGGGGCCTTGTCGGTAGCAGGAGCCTTGCGAGCGTCGGGGGCGGGCTGCTCATCGCCAAAATCGGGAGTGGGAGCACCCTCCTCGTCATCGGCGAGCTCAGCGCCGTAGATTTCTGGGTATTTCTTAAAGCACTCTTGCATGCCCCTGTTCCTGAATTAGCAAGCTATGAACCAAGACCATTGTTCGATATGACGTACTGGAACTTCTCGATACAGTCCATACCCTTGGGCTCCTCGGTCGAGTACACAAAGCAGCTGAACGCAGTCTTGAACTCCTCGCCGCAGGGGCCGTGGGCCATACCACCCAAGCAAGGGCAGTCCCAGTTGATCTCTCCAGTCTCGGGGTTGAAAGCGCCTTGCTGGTCGGCCTCCTCTTCTAAGGCAGCAGGCGATCCATCGGCGGCAGCGGCTTGAGTATTGGACTGTTGAGGCTCGGAGGGTTTTGATGACTCGGCGGGCTTCTCGCTCTTGGCCCTGATCTGTTTGCGCTTCTCCTCGAGGACGGAGTCAACGGTGGGGAGGTCATCATCGGAGAAGGCAGCGGGTGCGGGAACCGTTTTTGCTGTTCTATATTAGTCGCATAATCTCGAAGTCTGAGCATCAATTGCAACGCACAGATAGCCTCATCAGCAAAGATGGGACTTGTGTTATAGTAATAGACAGCACCGAAAGCCAGACCCAATCGTGCTACAGAGCTCTTCCATGATCGGGACTTGTCGGCGGGAGTAGCTGTCGAGTTAAATCGTCGAGGGGCTGCGCGGATCGTGTTCGAGCGCAAGCTGGCAATTACAGGCCTCGAGGCCGATCGCATAGTGGTACGATACATTTTGAATTACAGAAGTTAACAAAGAAACGAAGGTCAATGCAAGAAATCAAGAATACAAGAGGAATTGGTCAGCAATGGTGGAGCATCGAAATCTTGGAGTATGATGCTTGGAAATACTTGGCCCTGGTCTCCGAGATGCCGGCAGGTTGCGTGAAAAAAGTGTACCCGTGATTTAACCGTCCGTGCTCTTTATCTGATAACAGCCTTATCGCACCATGACGTTCCCCCACCATTGGCTTCTACCCATTGGATCCAGGCACTACGCATTCATTCCTGATCATATGAGCTGCTTCTATACCCTCACAGGGCTTGACGTGCAGACTGCGTCTAGATCTCTTTTTGACTTTCGACCTAGATTGTGGCTGTTACAGTAGACCAAAGTCTGTTTTGTCAAACGCGTTGGTTCAAGTGATCAGCAGAAGACAAAGGAAAGAAAGGGAGAAAGCTGTCGCACAGGAATCGAGGGGAAGTTTCTCGAGCTAGACATTGTCTCGCCATTTCTCAGGGAGAGGAAAAAGCAAAATCATTCTTGACCTAACAACTTGCAAATATCACGCAAGGGACACGACGATTTGGATCGCATCCACTTCATCTTTTTCTACTTATTGCAAATCGCATACTAACTAAAGATATCCTCAATCATGGCGTCCAAATCTTTCGAATGGCGACCGGCAAAGCTGCTCCAGGACTATAACATAGGCCAGGACTTTGCGCTGCTCATTCTAAACCAGCCGTTGAAGAACGGCGTCAATTTGCGCAAGCTCTGGAAGAACTGTACGTAGCTTGACATGCTGCTCTTGAGGTCTCAGTGCCTAACGTCCATTTCACAGCTTCTGTGAGAGTAGCCGCAGATGGTGGAGCGAATCGTCTACACAAGCTGTCGTCTTTCCACGGCAAATATGTACGTTATGATACTGGTCGTGGACGGCAATGTTCGACATTTTGCTGATTCTACAGTCTAACCTTCAACTCATCATTGGCGACCTCGATTCTCTCACCCCACAAGTCCGCGATTTCTACTCATCGCAACCCTCCCCTGCGACCGTCATCCACGACGCTGACCAAGAGTCGACCGACTTTGCAAAGGCTATCAACTGGATTCGCAAAGAATACCCCGAAGGCATCGACATCGTCGCACTTGGGGGTATCGGGGGCCGTGTCGACCAGGGTCTTTCTCAGCTTCACCACCTGTACCTTTTCCAAAACGACCCCGATTATGCGACAGGTCGACTCTTTCTTCTCTCCGGCTCAAGTTTGACATTCCTGCTTAAGGCTGGCAGCCATCAGATCCAGGTCCGAGAGGAGGGAGAGGAAGATGTCTTCGGCAAGCACGTTGGTATCATCCCTCTCAAAGAGGCTGCCAACATTACGACAAAGGGTTTCGAGTGGGACGTCGAGAACTGGCATTCTGAGATCGGTGGCAAGCTGAGCACTAGCAATCATATCCTGCCCGAGTCACAAGTCGTGTCAGTGACGACGGACAAGGATGTACTGTTCACAGTAGCACTAAAAGAAGGCGACGGCGATGACGAGTAGCATAGTGCTTCAGACAAGAACATGTTGACTTGGCGTGGTATGATACAAGCAAAAGAACAACACAAGACACTCAAAAGAGAAAAAAACTCCATGCGCCGCGCTGATGCCCCTAAGCGTACATTTCTGTGACATTCCTCTCCCAAATAACGACCCAATTCGGCTTCTTTTCTACCGCAAGAAATGGAGCACCAGCCAACAGAACAAGAAAAATATCACCACGCCCGCAAAGAAGATCCATTTGTCCTCCTTTGCCCGTCGCTCCACCATACGGATCGTATCACCGCTTACGCCAAGGGTGTTGGCGACGTTGTAGAGTCGCTTCTGGGTACTCTTGAGCATCTCGCGTTGCTGGCCCAGGTCACCCAGTACAGCCTGTCCACGCGCAATGTAGTCATCTAGCGCTTGGTTTGTGTTTGCGAAAAAGTTCTGCTCCCTAAACGCATGTGCCTCGCGCATCTCATCTGGTGAGCCTGTTGTCAAGGCGCTCGCTTGAGGTGGGTGTCGAGGCTGGAACGCAGAGTGCGTGTTTGTTGTTGTAGCGTTCGCATAAGGGTTCTCGGGTGTAGCATTATACGGTCTTCGACCAAGAAGTTCTGTGCGATTTGCTTGGTGTTGAGCATCATCACGAACTTTCTTCAGTGAGTCGACTTGCGTTCGAAAGTCGGAGAGATCTTCGCGGAACCTCTTTACTCGCTCAAAGCCTTCTTCTTGTTTCTTGGGAACGATCTCCTGACGGGCGAGGGATTGGTATTCATCGAGGGTCTTGGTGAAAGAAGCGATTGAGGCGGACACGTTGCCAATTTCGGAGGGAGATGCTTGAGGTTTGTTGTTGAGATTGGAGAGCTCTGCGCGGAGAGACTTGCTTTGCCGCAAGGCGGAGTTGTAGGCGATATTCTAAGTTTAGGAGTCAGCGGATGTATACTTGAATGTTAGTTCGATCTAGCTTACCATGGCGACGGATTTGAGCGAAGAAGCTTGAGGTTGTCGAGCAATGCAACGACAACTTTCATCATGATTTCTAGTTGTTCAGATACATGATAAGGCCAGATCTCGCGGAACGGATTAATGACACCCCGCCTCAGACATGTCCAAAGCTGCTTACCCTGCATCTTCTGGACACCTGAAGTAAGGGGGCAAGACTTTGACCAGAAAGTTTTCCGATGCCAATACTGTGTGGTTTTTATCTTTCCAATCTTGTGCGCTTCAATATCAACCACATCTAATAAACTCTATGCCCATAAGCTCTCGCTGTTCTGAGGTGGCAGGAATGCGTCGCCGTTCATTTAAAGTTAGCCACAACTTTTATCTCAAAATGCTATAGTTTTGCAAAGTTAAAGATTGAGTCTGGTATCGTGACATTACGTTAACTGCTTTGCAGACATAGCAATATGGAAACAACAATGAATTTCCTCATCTCGATTATAAGCCTTATGTGTATGTTCTCTCGCCTAAGCTAAGCCTGGTGATAGTTCAATTCTCTCAGTCCAATTCGTTGGCCTCCCCATAGTGACAATCGCTTTTCTCTTGGCCAGGTCCATATTAATGGTGAAGAGTGTTGCCTTGCCGTTCCCGGGTGAGAATTGATCACGGTTGATTGCTGTTGGATACCCTTGCTCATCCTTGAAGAAGTCAAAGAATGAAGAATGGTCGATGGTTGAAGTCGCCAATCTCTCATCAAGAAGCTGGGCGATGCGCTTGATACGGTCTGTGGAATCTGGTATCCAGCCGGGTTCATCTACTCCGGGATGGTCAAGCAGTAGATGGTTCGTATGAATAAGTGTTCCGTTGCCGTCAAAGTTGATCTCTTTCATCCCTATGCTGGTGCATTCCAAGCCTATAGCCTCAGATGGATCTGACACGAGAATATGACCACTTCCAGCCGTGCCCATTTCATACAGCTTATCGGCTGCTTCGCGCGCCGAATGCGATTCCAAAGCTGTTCGTAGGGCGAGATGGATGGGAATTTTGGTGTTATCAACGCCCCGAGCTCGGATAGCGTTTAAACAAGTTCCTACACCAGAGGAGTTAATACCAATCTTGCCAATTACACCCCCTTCAGTCACCATGGAGATATCGGGTATATCTGTTCTAGGCTGGGAGATATGACAGATGAAGAGATTAGGTGCCTGTTCAGGCTGCCAGTCCCAGTTCTGCGCAAGGAGAACCTCCCCGTTAGGCTGACGATATGCAGCACTCGTGCAGCCATCGGTCTGGATAGGTGCACTCGGGACTCGAGTATATAAGCCAAATGTGATCTCTGTTCGAACGTTGAGAGCGACGATATCAACTAGCTCGAAGCCAGCACCGTCTGCTAAGCCTTGAAGCTCCTCGACATAGCGTGGAGATAGCTTCTGCAGAGGTTGGATGTATTGTTGAGCCTCTTGACGTACTGCTTCCCAGTTCATGGAACATGATTCTTGGAACAGATCTTTGTAAAAGGCGATAGACCCTACAACTCTGTCTTTTGCAGCTGTGCCATGTTGATGGCCGATCTGTATTTGAGCAGTAAGTTAGTCTTCCAACTTGGATTACGACGTTCCTAGAATGAGGTTTCTTTACCTCATAGGGCGTGCCTGAGCAATGAACTTCTAGCATGATGAGTTGTTTACAGAGGGTGGATTGATAGTGTCGGAGTCAGAAGTGAGCCCGTTCCCTTACCCCAACGTGAGGATTATATACCCATCAATGCCGCGTTTCCAATCGAGAGTGGGGGTTGGCTCAGGCAATACTACAGCTATCCTGGTGGTCCTTTGACGTATACAACCACTCTTTCTAGCACAGCATTGCACATGCAGTTGACGTGATCGTCGTGATTGTGTAAGGCTGATCTTTTGACATCTGTATAAGTGTACTCCCCTGGATGCACCGCAACGTAGTCGAACTCAGTGATTGCATACTAGAAGTCTGCTAGTAAACTAATTTCAAAGTCTTCGTACTATCATAACATGGGTTTAACATTTGATGCCAGCTTCAGAGTTCGGAGGGTTATAGCCGGTTTGGCTCGGCCGAGTCTGCCGATAATAGGCACTTTGGGTGGACACCACAAAAGGGAATGATAGATCATGATTGGAGGTCTGATGAACCTCTTATTAATCCCCGGTATCCATCTCCGTTGAGTAGCTTCGGATGCGACCCGACTTCAAAAATAGTCAAACCTGAAAATCTCAGTATCAGCTGAGCTTCCTCCATTAGGATCATCGAAGTTTGAAGATACATAATAAAGATGGGAGACTTGCCCCATCTGAGTGATCATATCGGAAGCTTCAGCTTATCATCTATTCATCCGGCTGATCCAGCTTACACTCCGCTTCTCTATCGGCTCCGCGAAGAAACCTTCCAGAACCGAACAACTCAAGTCAGACATGGCTCATATCTCAGACGCTTTACCCGAGATACTTCTTTCAACATAGCTGAAGCTATCAAGGAAAACTCTGGGATTGATCTCAACAATTTCATGCGCCGATATGGATTGACTGGCTGCGTTGTTGTTCAGAATGGAGCCATGAAACTCGAAGAATACAGACACGGAAACTCTCAAGCATCTCGCAACGACGTTCAATCAGTCACAAAGTCTTTTGTTGCAACAGCTCTCGCCATTGCGCAGCAAGAAGGAAAACTATGCGTCAACGACCCAGTATCTCGCCATGTCGAAGAGCTGAGAGGAACTGCTTGGGCAGACGTGCCACTTCTTGCTCTATCCAGCATGTCTTCAGGGGTAGTTGAACAATCGGAAGAAGAGCGACCCGCGGATGTGCCCAACCCCATGTATGCCACTGAGCTTTATCCCCAAACTGATACTGAAGCTGTTATCAACTGGCTCAAGACCTCGAGGAAAGTGGCTGAGCCTTGGGAAGAGTTTCACTACTACAACCCGAACTATTACGTGCTGTCGACGGCGATCTCACGTGCAACTGGGGAGCCTCTGAATGAATACATCTCGCGCACGATATGGGATCCTGCTGGAATGCAATACGATGGGTACATACGAACAACAGGCGCAGGACACGTGGACGGTCACGGAGGTCTCTCGATAACTTTGACAGATATGGCACGCTTCGGGTGTTTTATTCTCGAAAGTTTCAGAGACGGAGGGAAAGGCCCCAATGTGCCACCTGGTTGGTTCCAAGACATTTCTGATGCCAAGAACAGTGTCGGGGCCAGGGCTCTTCAACCGGATAACTTTGTCTCCAACTTTGGCTACGAAAGTGGTTGGTGGACGACAGGCAGGGCGGACAAGGAGTATAAAATGGGAGACGATGGTGCGTTTGCGGCGATTGGTATGTATGGCCAGTCTATTTACATAGTTCCAAAGTTGGACGCTGTGATCGCTATTCAATCTGGGTACCCGGAGCATGAGTTGGACTTGTTCACGAAAAACGCAGAGTTGGCGACTGCCATACTCAAGGCACTGAGAGACCAGTAATATGTTATAAGAGTTAGACACAATTAAAGTTTATTCCATTGAACCGTTTCACAATCTGCCTTCAGTATGTCATCTGTCAGACATCATACGGTTTACGTTCCACAACAGTAGCCTATCAGAGCTGAGCCGCTTGGTAAAATGTCGTGACCGTTTTATTTTTGGCTCAAGGTTGAGATCTGCGACGCCTCTTAGTCAGGGGTAACTTTCTCGCTCTACACCTCTCGTTGGCTCCCGATACCTATGCTGTTCGGAACCATCAAGATTCTTATGACTTGTTGTCTTTGCTAAACCACGAGATGATTCGATCGATTTTCTGAGGGGTTAAGATGTTCATGCCACAATAAAAGGTTGAAGAGTGACTGTAAGAGGCTCCCTTTGAACGTCTGAGCAGAGCCATTCCTTCTTCATTTGCAATCTCTCAAGAAACTCCGAACCCAAGTTCAAGTGTACTATAGACAATTTGTACAACTACCGCGCCTATTCTTTTCTCTTTTTTTCACTCCATTCTTTCATTTCCAAAACAAAGAGGAATGTCCAAACAACAACTTGAACTGTTATCTCCCAGTCTTCACCATTTCCCCGTCAATCAACATGCAGCTTGGCAAGCCTTGGTGTAGCACCTGCTGCGTCCACTTCAATACTTTTGAGGAGCACCGAGAGCACTCAAAGTCAGAAGGACAGTAAGTTCCCTATCTTTCTCCTGCTTTATTAAATACGCTACCGTACTTGTAGTGTTTTCAAGATCCAAATTCGATATAGTAGCCCATCTATTCCTCGTTATGTCATGGAGAAAGCCTTGGAAAACTGGGATTGAGTCGAGGAATCATGGGATGAACCCTCAGATGAAACGCCAGGGTATGAGTCAGAGCTCTATCAGGTAGAGGCTCCAAAATTTCATGAAGAACTCTGTCTCTTTTGCCGCCACACGAGCTCGACCTTCGACGAGAACATGGCTCACATGAAGATATGCCACAACTCCACCATCCCAACCCTGAAAAGCCATGATATTGAGCCTATCACTGTCGCACGATACCTTAATCGAATTATATTCGGTTGCTACGAGAGTATATCCTGTGGCAAGCAACTTCGCACGCTGGAAGGGATTCAACATCACATGGCTTCCAAGAACCACTGTCATTTCCAGATGACATGCGAGATTACGAGATTCTGTAAGAACGAAGAAAGTTACAACGCTCAAGAAAGTCGACAAAGTCAAGAAACTCAGCTCATACGATCGACTCACGCTTCCCATAACGACAAGACTATCATTCAGCGTCCCACGCTGCCAACACCTGCCGAAGTTCTATGGTGTTAGAGCACCGGAGATAACCATCATATGTACGAAGAGAAGCAACAGGAATGTTGTATTTTCGGCAACTCGCAGGTAGCTGTCACTGAGATGGACACTCCGGAAATGGGAGGGGACCATACCGAGGCGACTCAACAGCCACATAGAGCTTTCCACGAAGCGGTCCGAAAGGCAAGGGTTTGGCTGGGACTTTCTAACATCCAATTTGAGACAAGTGGACTGCAGAAAGAGTAACGAACTGCTGAATTTTATGGATTGTAGCATGGAGGAACTGGAAGAAGCATCATTGGACTCTGGGAGGAAGAGTTACAGAGCATAGACCGTGTCATTTGAGGCAAATGTTGGATTGGAAAGAGTCTGGTATTGCGGTTTGTTCGATAGTTCAGTTTCCGGGTTTAGATTGAACAGATATCTTGTGGTTTTCAGGAATGTACTGCATTGCTACATTTGTAAAACTGTTTTTTACCTTACGTATCACTATGGTGCTTCGTTATCGATCTTCTCGATTTTCTTATGATAGCGTCGAACGAAAACTTGCTCATTTTGCGGTCAAGTATAGTATGAAACCAAGGTCATTTTTATTGGCACATTGATTTATGAAGGACATAAATCAGCTAAAGAATAAAAGGAACAAAGCGAGCTGTTCTTGCATGCCAACCCTCCCATTCCTTTCCAAAAGCCCTCTTGAGCATCTTCTCCTCTTCAGAAACTCTGGTCCAGATTCCAAACATGACACCTGATATAGTGAAAGGAAGCAATCTTATAGCCCAGGAACAGAAGGTCTCATAGACATTCGGAGGAATCCAGCAGCTCAGAACACCATCCAGTCTACCAAGCAGCGCCACGTTGAATATCATGAGAATAGCAAGTCCAGTATAACTTGGGTGTTGGAGATATTGATAAATACCGGTAGTTTTCAATCGATCTGGCTGTTTCAGAGCAAATGTGAAGTTTTTGCCCAGTGATGCATACGGTACCAAACGCAGAGGAACACCGGCACAAAAAATCAGAGCTAAAGGAATTGTAGTTGCAGCAGACCATGTAATCAGGCCTGGATTGAGCCCATTTTCAATTCCATGATGAACAAGAGATGGAGGAATATTGGGGTAGCGCAAGGCTAGGCTAGCAGTGTGCAGCGATAGCAGCCCAAGAGGGGCCAGGACGACCTTTGTGGTGTGTTTTCTCGTCAAGAATAGCCATCGAACTGAGTCGCCTGTTGATGGTGCTGCATGTTCGCTGGGATTGGGAGGAGATAGAGCCAGATAGGTTCCGTAAGTTGAACCTAGTATGGCTGCTGCTAGAGAAGCCTGAGACAAGGAGAGTTGAAGAGCCATTGTTATCTCAATGGAAGTCAGGACCAAACGAGAAAGCTGAGCTTGCACTTTGCGATATATGAGGATAGAATAGGTTTCCTTCAGCCATGGGAGAGATGCAGTTCGATGATACGTAAACTAAACCGAGGTTCAGTCTAAAACATCGGGAAGCTAGCAGTTTCACGTGACACACGTTCAAATGACGAAAGGTATTTGATCTCGTCGAACTGGTTAGTAAACCCAATGCCGTTGACAGAAGCCCACGAGAGAGTCGATCACATATTGATAGGGTGTTTATGCTCTGTTTACGCAGTCGTATAAACATAATTTCGTATCTCGTACATACAAAGCCAAATAGCGCCGCAGTCCGAATGTAAGCCACAGCCACCTGGACAGGGGTCTGATCTGAGGTTCTTTTCAAGGCGGTATCTGTCAACATCGAAGCCGTCAGCTAATCGTACAAGCTAGTAGCATTTCTTGACAGTTGATAGATAACAGTATTATTTGTTGTTTTATGGAAAGATTCTAGAAACAGTAGTCATCTGATCGGCAGAAACAGCAGCACAGACGGGTAAACCTGTTTCAATCAACCCCCCCCCCCCCCCCGGATCCAACACTAACAGCCCGTATCGTAGCTTTCTAACGGAGGAGCAGCCACCAATCCGAAGCTGAACGCATCAACTATAGGGAGGAACAGACTGCCTCTAACGCCAATTATGACATGATTCTCCACTTAGACTGAGACTCGCGTCCCCAGCTCAACCGCAGATTTGTCGATCGCCGCTCTGTGGCGATTCTAGCATAATCGCCGAGTCTAGACTCACTCTAACTAAACTCTACCTTCCAGCCTCCCGGTCTTCGGCGTTCGCCCCTAGTGGCAAGCCCTAGGAATCCAACCTTCAATGCTCTTCTTCTGTCTTTTGCCAATGGTGAAAATGACCGTTGGGGGAAAACGTTGAAGATTCCTTCGAATGTGCACTGCTGAGAATGGCCAGTCCAGCTTGTGTACAGGTGCCGAAGAAAAGCATCGTTTCTGAAGCTACTCGGGAGCGCGAGACGTTCAGGTAACGAGGCAATTTCACCCTAGAAATGTTGAGTTATGTTACTGAGATCCAATTAGATATGACGACTCGCTTTTCACCAATGTTCGCTTTAACGATACTGGATTGCCTGTTCCGAGCAATGAGCTCTCCACGTCTCCTGATGTCATATTGACGGCCCTGGCTCGTCTAGCGGCTTCTCAAACTGGTGCAGCGCGCTCAATGATCTCATTGTTTGATCAGACTCATCAGTATATCATCGCAGAAGCTTCATCGATAACCCCATTGATTCCGAGCTTGGGACAGGATGGTCACCCGGAAACTCTTTGGCATTGTGGAACTGCAATCCCGCGATCGCATAGTGCTTGTGAAAGCACATTATGTTCCGATGAAATTCAATCAGATGCATCTGGACCAAAGGCCAACCACGACTTACCCGTCATTGTAGTTGATGATGTTACCCTCGATCCCGAGTACTCAACTAAACCGTACTGTCGACCCGGAGGCGCCGCAAGATTCTACGCCGCAGTGCCAATTCGCACAGATCGAGGTGTAAACATCGGAGTTATCTGCGTAATCCATACCGAACCTTCATTGCCATGGGAGGATAGTCATTCAAGACTTATGAGAGAGCTTTCAAGAGCCGTGACTGAACATCTCGAGACCACCAGCCTGAAAAGCCACCAACGAAGGAGCGAAAGGAAGAGCTGGGGTTTGACCAGTTTCGTCGAAGGGAACACAGCACCTTTGAGCCAAGTCTCATCTACCGGACGAGAGTATGCAGAACATGAGATGAGAGGTGACGGTATGGCCAGGTCGCGAAGGCCAAAAGTCGACGACTTGCAGCAAGCCTTGGGAGGAATGAGTGTCAGAAACTCAACTGCCACAGCCGACTCCCGCACGACGAACGCTCTTCACACCAAAGAGGTTATCATGTGTGATCCTCAGGCCAGATCAAAGTTTGCCCATGATCCAAGTCAGCTCCTCCAAACTCCACGGCAAATCTTCTCCAAAGCAGCGTCAATTGTCAAGGATTCTATTGAGACTGATGGCTGTTTGTTCCTCAATGCAGACATGCTTGAGTTTTCAAGTGCAGGCTCTTCCACTGAATGGATAGACGAAGACCTGGCGACTCGACGACCTTCAACATTCAGCTACAATGAGAGTGAGGATGCCTACACAACTGGCTCTTCTGATGACCGTCTACGACCCTCTTGTCAAGCACTCGGCTCTTCCGAACATGGGGCAGCTCATATTGCTCTCCCGCAAGCCCTTCTCGCCAGGATGATTCGACGATACCCTAGGGGCCATGTGTTCAACTACGACACCGATGGAAATCTACTCCAAGAAGAACTGTCTGATGATTCAATTCGCCATCCACCAAACAACAATGACTGGGGAAACCTACATAACAGACAAGACCACAGGTTCCGAGTTCAGCAGAGAGAAGCAAGTATTCTCCTCGAGACCTTCCCCGGTGCTCGAAGCATTGCATTCGTTCCTGTCTGGGACCTCAGGAAGAAACGATGGTCTGCTGGTGGCTTTATTCACACTTACAATATCAAGCGTACCTTCACGATCGACCTCGACTTAAGTTACCTCAGAGCTCTCGGTATGCTCGCAGCGGCTGAGGCCTTCAAGTTGGAGACCCTAGCTGCGGACAAGGCCAAGACTGATGCACTTGGCTCACTGTCTCATGAGTTGAGATCACCGCTTCATGGTGCCGTTCTGAGCGTTGAGTTGCTCAACGATACAGACCTTACTATTCCACAGCAAAATATTGTTCGCACCATTGAAACATGCTGCCGAACACTCTCAGATACAATTGACCATTTGCTCGAATATTCCAAGGTTAACAAGGCTTTGCCTCAAGAAGCGACTCGAGAGACCCAGGCAGACGGAAGTGGTATCAACAGGTCCTCGTCCGTTAGAATGGCTTCGAAGCCATCAAGAAAAGTCGTACAGCTAGATGTTCTGGCTGAAGAGGTTCTCGAGAGTGTCTACGCTGGATTCAACTTTCAACAGGCCACCCTTGCCCAATCATCCAGCCAAACACCTCGACGACCTGGTCACACATCTATCCGCCGAATGGACACCATGCAAGCTATGGAGGAGCTTCAAGCTCCATTGAAAAAGAAAGGAAATCTTTCAACGAAGATCGGAGACGTCGACGTTTTCCTGGTCATCGACTCACGACCATCATGGGGTTTCTACACCCAGCCAGGTCCCGTGCGTCGAATTATCATGAATCTGTTCGGCAACTCGCTCAAGTACACGCAATGTGGAATTATCAGGGTCTCTTTAGAGCAGACCAGCGCTTTTGGTGCTGATGATAATGACTGCTGGGTAACCATCAAGGTGTCCGATACTGGCGTGGGCATTAGCGAGGACTTTCTGCAAAACGGCTTGTTCAAACCATTCTCGCAAGAGAATCACTTGTCTCCTGGCACAGGTCTCGGACTTAGCTTCGTAAAGCAGATAACTGCACAGTTTGGAGGTCACATCTCTGTCGACAGTCGAATTGGCGTCGGTACTACGGTAACAGTGAGACTACCAATGAAGCTTGGTGACGACTGCCATCACAACGTCTGTGAAATTCGACAACGAGAAGAAGAGTTTGACGCGCAGACGGAAAAGCTTCGAGGTCTTCGGGTCAAATTGGTTGACTTCAGCAAAGACTCCGTTACGGGAGGCGGTTCCGTACAAAGAACGATCGAATCTCCTGACCAACTTGTGCAGGATATGTGCAAGGAATGGTTAAACATGCAGGTCAACACCACCTCAGAGACACCTTGCTTCATGCCAGATCTCGCAATTTGGTCTGAGGAGGGGTTTGAAAGACCTTATGTTCCGCAGGATTCAGTCCTGGATATTCCAAACATTGTGCTCTGTGCCAATGCTGTTACTGTACATCAGTATGCCACTGGCACCAAGACAATACCACGTCCCGGAGTCTTCGAGTTCATTTCACAACCGTAAGTAATATTCTATGATACACCATATGCCGTGCTCCAGGCTAACTACAAATCAAGACTCGGTCCTCGAAAGCTTGCCAAAGCATGTTCACTAGCCTTGTATCGCTGGACAGTCATGCAAACATCTACCCAATCTCCAACCACAGCATCAACAGAGCCCGAATCTTTGAGCATCGTCACCAGCACTGCCCCTTCACTAACAAACCCAAGCTCACCCTTCCCCGCGAGCGAAGACGAAACCCCAACACAACCAAAAGACTATTTCAGAGCATCCGAGTTCCTTCTTGTTGACGACAACTTCATCAACCTCAAGATCCTCTCCTCATACATGAAGAAGCTCAAACAACCATATCAAACAGCTTCAGACGGTTTAGAAGCCGTCACAGCATATGAAGCAGACCCTGGCCGATATAGCTGTATCTTGATGGATATTTCGATGCCGGTCATGGATGGGTTTGAAGCAACGAGGAGGATTCGTGCTTTTGAGTCACAACAGGGGTTGAGACCTGCTTTGATACTTGCTTTGACAGGGTTGGCTTCTGAGGAGGCGCAGAGGGAGGCTACTGTCAGCGGATTGGATTTGTTCTTGACGAAGCCTGTGAGGTTGAAGGAGTTGGGTCCCATTTTAAGAGCCAAGGGGGTCTTGGAGGAGGAGTCGAACCTGGGCTGAGTATCATGATCTATAGGAAGAAAATTAAGGTGTATGGGATCGAAAAGAACTAATTAATACGGGACAAAATAATGAAACAGATAGAAAATAACGATATCAATGGGATAAGCTGAATATGTTGTGAATATGGATGGAGAGATAGATGGCATCGGTTGATATCATGAGTTACGGTTCGGAAGCTTATGCTTTTGGTTCAAGCAAGAAATAACCTCAGGGTAGATATGTAGAAAGTATAAACCTTGTGTGAAGTAACGTTTGAGTAGTACTTCAGAATAGTTCTTCAGCCTACGTGTCTTTTATTCATATTGTAAACTGGAAGAGTATCGATAGATCTATCCCCTTTCAACTTCATCCTTCCAATAAGGTCACGACATGATGTTTATGAAGCCCAAAAAAGTTTGGACTCGTCTTCTATCATGGACATAGAGTAGCGAGAGGTGAGAATTATATATATTAGGTATCAACAAAAAAAGACATGACAAAACACGCTTCATCAACCCACCATCAGCTCCATAACCCCTAACAATCCCGTCCTTTCACATAACTATCACCCGTTCCTAAATGTCCCGCTAAATGCAACTCCTCAAACATGAAAAAGCAGAAACAAAAAGCAAGAAAACAGATAGATGTTTTTGCCCAAATAGAACGCCATGTCGCTTTCATATCCGTAACCCTTGGTATCTTCAACACGACCCAATAAGCGCCAGACCATACTCTCTCGGATTTCTTTTATCACTCCTGCCCTAATTGCGATGGATATGTGTCTTTTGTTTCCTTAGATTGTTGTGTTTGGTGTTGATGCCTCGAGGTCCATGATCCATCACCCCCGTCCTTGATGCTTTCACAGGTATCGGTCTATAGATTCCTGAGAAACAAGTTGCAAGGCTCGACATACTACTGCCGGAGAGGAGCTTCCTTGAAACGCTTTACCCAGTGCTGTCGCACGCGGCTGGGCATCTTGCAAAACACCATAGCTTTGCACTCATTGATGAGTACGCCCTCAGAGATCTTGACCTGCAGATCAAGATCCTCATCTGCAAAGTCACGGAAGAATATGTCCAGCGCTTCCTCTTGCCAGCGCAGAGTATTTCGAGATCGTACAGCCTCGACAATCTCCTCCATAACAGGCCCGTTGGTCCCGTTGGTATTCTGGCTATCCGCCTGGGAAGGAGACCCAGCACTCGGACCATCACGCACAGCCAATGGCAGCATGGAGGAGTTGAGAACAGACGTTGAAAGAGCACGAGAACCATCGTTGGACGAAGTACGGCGACGCTTGCCAGGAGATTCGGGGGCCGACTGACCCATAGGAACAGTAGTAGCAGGTGGCGTCGATTCGAACATGTTCGGGGTGCTTGAAGTGGGCAGCTGTCGCTTGCGGCTCTGTGTAATAGTCTCGTCAGGCGGGGTAAGAGCATTAGCATTTGCTACAGTCGGTGGTCCGCGTGGAGGAATTGTAGTAGACGTCGGTCGCGGCTGGGTCGCCGACCCAGTGGAGGATGTAGTGGGAGTTTGAGTCAACATGGGTCGCGAGTTCGGGCTCTCGAGGCCAGGAGGTCGAGGTGGAGGATCGCTTGTCAAATTGAGTATACCGGTGCCCGGCATATCGGGGTCATCGGTCATGGGGCCATCTGTTCGTCTCCGTGGTTTCATTATACGTTTGGGAGCGCCACCCGAGCCGATGACGTCTGGATAAAGGACTTCCATAAAGTCTTCATGATCAAAGGGTCGGCCGCGCAACGCCCTAGACAGCGGTTCCCTCTATTTGAGAGTCAGTATGTGCTTGACACAGTCGTTTCGTATGCGCGAGGCTATAGTAGCCGGGCCTTGTCGTTCGCGTGATGGCAATTCCCGATCATTCGCATCGTCATGGTACAAGGAATGTTTACCTCGATATGGGCGGTCCACGCCTCCTCCGTAGCAGTAACCGTTCTCGTAACCGGATTGTAAACAAACTCGGGGTCCTCGCGAAGACCTCTCCATAACCGGAATCGTTTTCTCGCGTTGTCACTCTTGTTGATCAGGTGGCTTTTCGCTGGGTAGGCGCCATGGCTCTCCTGCAGAGCCAGAGCAGCGCGCTCCCAGGCCTCTGCTTTAAAGGAGGAGTTCTCACGGAGACCAAGCTGGACGCTCTCGCAGAGACTTCGGAAGAAGGTCGCTTCGTATGCGGGAGTCCAGCTGAAGCGCGGAGCTCTTCGATCGCGGTCGACTCGAGCTGGGGGCTGGCCGTCTGGGCCGAGGACATCGGCGTCTTCGTCGGACATTGTTCTAGAAGGGGGGGGGAGGGGGGGGGGAGAAAGGAAGGAAGAATAAAAAAAAAGAGCCCCCTCGTGGCTTTCTGTGGGAGGCTGAGGCTGAAGCCGAAGCAAATGCTCCAACAACAAAGTCGTGTGTTGGTACAGTCTTGACAAGACCTGACCTGGATCAAAAACGATGGGAACCAATTCTAAACCAAACCTTAGTGTTAGCTCGCCCAGTCGGGACTCGGCCGGGCGGTGAGTTTTTAGGTGGGGACGAGAGGTCACCTGGGCCACTGGGAATTTCACTATGCGTTATCACGTGCGACCACTGAAAAAGGGGAATAGAGATCAACAATTGCTTGGAATAGCGATTAATTTAAGCTGGCGTTCAGAATCGACGGTAGAACAATGATATCACATCGATGTTTATGGTCCTGATTCATTGTCTATCGAGATGCATCTCACCGGAACTTTTGCTCCTTGACCTCGATCCAGGGCCGCGGACAGGGATTGGTAAGAGCTGAGGCTCAACTCCCCGAGAAAAGTCCATCTCATTGGTCTGTTTGAGTCTGTGACAGGTCAAGGCAATACGACATAACGTTTCTGTATTGCAAGGATTAATCTCACCAAACAATATCATTGTATGCGCCAGCACTTGCATATTTCCTTGGCCATCTTGATCGCACATGAGTAACTCTTCTTTGTGATAGACTCTTTTTATTATGGAGATGTCCCACCTTCAAATGGAGCATCATGCCCGGTCCAGCCGCGGTTACCGCCCGTAGCATTAACATTACGTCGATGCCTATAATCTGGGCCTTGATAATCCTTACTCTGTTTAGTAGGCCTTGCAAAATACACTTTGCGTCATTCAGGACTCCGATATCGATGAGAAATGTAATCGAGTTTACAGACCCAAAATAGTGAAATTATTCTATCGACCGAAGATATCTTGGCTCATGGCTTCGAAAATGTAGGAAGAGTAAATGTCATCAATGAACTTTCAAGAGAAGGATTAGAGGAATAAGAATTGAATAAGAGCAAATAACGCGATACCAGCACCAGCCAGTCCCAAATGTTGACTCATGGCGCCAGATACGATAACAGGGCGATCTGTGGACTCTCCTGTTCGGGCGTTAGTTTTCATATCTATCACGAAATCAACAGTGAACCTACCAGGAGGAGCACTCTCGGGGGAATCAGGGACTACGCTGGGCTTGACGGTTGATTGGAATCCATTGTTGTCTCCAGTGACCTTGGGTGCAGCGTTTCCTTGCTCCTCGGGCTGTTCCTTGCCGGGCTTTGCCATGGGCATTTCAGTTGGTGCAACTTCATTCATGTAAGGACGGTCCGAAACAGGGTACGTGATAGTGGCGGTAACAGGCTCAGGGCCACAAGTAGTACACGTCTGAACATCACACGTGAATCCATACGGAAGATCGTGCTCGTTCTTGGTAGGCTTTGCCTCCATGCCACTGTACGTCTCCGTGATGATATACTCCTGCTCAAAAATACCAGTAGAGCAGAAAGCAGGGTACTTGGTAGTGTACTCAAGAGTATGGACACAAGTTGGGCAGCCGCAGTGACAGTCGGGAGCTTGGACTTCGACAATGATGGCTTCTCCTGTGACAGCTGGCTTGTGAACCACGCATGTCGGGCCAGGGACGGTGACGGTAGCTGGAGGACGTAGGCCATCGCGGGTGAAGCATTGAGTTATCGTTGCTGTGCGGGTTTCGTACTGGACATCTTCTTGAGCGATTCCGAAAGCAGCGAAGAGCGCTGGAACAACGAGTGACTTGGAATACATGATTAACGAGAGTGAATAGCAAAAATGCACCAAACGAATGACTGCGGCTGGAAATCACACAACTGAGAGAATAAGCAGAGAAAGAGTGTTTTGGATGTCATAAAGGGGACTTGGCGCTTATTAAATTCTCATGTTAGTAATGCGGGAATGTACCTTCCATACCTCAACGTCCATCTGATTACCTAAAGACTGTGGCTTGCCGGCGACATGAATAGTGTCATGCCAGACTATGCCACGGAAGACCCATGTAGTGCGTGTCGCTATGATCCGCTTGCTCTTAGCGGCCATTATGCTGCTCGTCTTAGTTTTAAAATTTGGTTCCCATGGATAACTTGACAGTGGCTGCCTGAAAGGCCAAAATTCGTTACGGTTCTTTGCTTGGTGGAATCTAATGATTCTGGTCCCTGTTGTTGTTTAATCTCTGGTATGCAAGGGAGCAACTCAAGGGAGTTTTGGTGATTAGCCAGTTTAGTAGGGTGGTTGATGTCTCACCGTGGGCGCGGTGACATCTTATATTAAAACTCATATTCTAGACCAACGCCTCGCTAGCTAGGTTGAGACATTGTTCAGTTGTTGCTCGCCACCCAATTCCAATACCTTGAGATATTTGGAGCAACCAACAGATATCTTATGCTTCATGGGCTGAGTGTATGCAGGGCTGAGCTGAACATTTGAGTGTAGAGCAGCTAAGAGTTGTAGAAATTCATAGTATTGGACAAGTCCCTGTTCTCCGTCTTCCCAAAGCTTTCATTGATTCTTCATGATGTCTCCTGTTCGTCTGTTCCCTCTCTTACTCGCATGTTTTTTTGGTGCATCCATTGCTCTTCAAGATGACCAAAGGCAGCCTGAATCTTAGTGCATAACCTATCTATCAACTTATCTGGTCTCAGTATCAGATGGTCACACTCGCCCACCGACTTCTTCTGTTGGCGAAGCCTTTTTCCCAGAGACCTCTGAAGCAGCTTTGACATTTTCTACAGATCAAGCTATCCCCTCAACTTTACCTGTTCATGATGATCTAGTTATTACCACTTCGGCCCCCAGTCCAACTACTGGAATTTTAGTCCCCGATGCCGATGGTCGATCAGCGATATTCCGCATCATTCCGGAATTGCAGGACACCAAACGAGATCTCCAGGTCAGGGCAGTTGGCGGTTTCGTTGGTAGCCAGTCAGAGATCTGTGCTGCTGCCGCTATCTTCAACCTTGTGCAAGGTCGTTTGCTGGATGGTACCTGGCCCATATACTACAACGGTGAGGGTGTTCAAGGAGCTACGTGGCCAGCCAGGAGCGTTACCTCGAGATGCTGTTGCTGAAACCTTTGTTGACGAGGATGGATTCCTCCAGTTTTTCAGCTCAGTCCTACCAAATGGTGAGGCAGGCTTCTGTCAAGAAGCTGAGAGCGGCCAGGTTTATATCACTTTCACTGCATCGCCCCCAAGTTACCAATCTATAAGACTTTCTATTACCGGAGGTATGGGCATCTTTTCGTGCCACTGATTGTAGGCTGCCTAGTTTTCTTCTAGTTGACGAATGCCGAGACGGCGATATATCCTCAACCCCTTCTTCTAGACCTGCCAGTGTACCTCCGCTAGCAGAATCTACATCAGCACTGCTCGGAACGACATCTCCCTTCAACGCAGCAGCTTCTATGACCACAAAGGAGATCCAGAAGGGTTCTTCCGCTATAGATGTCCCAACTTTCACTCCTCCTTTCCAAGACACTTCTCAGGTCAAACCTGTGTATACTAGCTCTGTTCGATTTTATAACAGCTCTTCGTCTGTTATATTCCCGACACACCCTGCTCTTACTCAAACATCTTCTATATTGGAAATTTCAACCCCTGTCACAGATTTCCCACTTACGTCTCGGCTGAGCTCCTGGACCTCAAATCTGGAGAACCTATCCACAGATGCACTATCCACGAATGACTTGGGAACGTCGAAAGAGCCACCTTCTATCTTTGAGCCTACTACAACTGCCACGCCAACTACCACGAATGCTAAAAAATACAATTGGCACTAGCTCTGGTATTGGCTCTACGCCTAGCTCTGTTGTTAATTCTTCTACCACGTCTGGGCCATCATACAGTTTCGAGACTGATACTAGAACACTATCAGATCTGTCGTTGGATGCTAGTTCATCTTTTGACTCGAGCCCAACGAGCCTTTCAACGGCTGATACCAGCCTTTCCACCACGACAACTGTCGATACCACAACTTCACATACTTCAACCACTACAAGCTCTGAAGCGACGGGCACACGTGCGTGTCCAGAGGGCCTGTCTGAACCACTGACATTATTCGATGGCCAGAGGCCATCTGACAATGGTGTCGAATGGCTCGTGCTCCCTTTTCTGATAACGATCTACGGTCAGGCTAGTGATATGCTCTATATCAGCCCCAACGGGCTTGTTACACTCGGAGACTCCTTCGGGGCCGATTCGTTCTCCAATGTGGCCTTACCAGCTGAAAATGTTGAGCCATTGGCTATTTTTCCTTACTGGGTTGACATGATAGTTCCCGAAGGTTCAGGGGCTGAGGTTACATACCAGATTGAGGATATTCCCAACCAGCCAGGGGTGTTGACCATAGATTGGTGTGTTTTCTCTACATCAGATGGAACTGAGCCAAACCACTTTCAAATGGTAGTTTCAGAGGATCAGCTGACCCCATTCACCTTCTTCACTTGATCATTTCTTCTTCTTTCTTGTATTTGTTTCCTCCCTTTCGATCTCTGGATTAGTTAGGCTTTCAGGGCTACACGAAGCTTGGTTTAATAGATTGACTACACATGGCCCCCTTTCTGGTCAGATAAGATGTTGGCAGACGAGAATATGAGAGCCTAGGGCAACAGTGTATAGTTGAATTGCCTTCAAACCTTGACTGTATTAGCTACACTACAATATCATCTCAGTCTTGGTTGTCCTTCGACCCAATCCCTCAAAGAATCGCGCCGAGCATCCAAGATCCCGTGTTGAGTGAAGGACCAGAGTTATAAAGCTGAACCACCCAAAGAATATAAGCAAGGCATTTTTAACCAACCCATTAAAGACCGATTCCAACAAGTTACAACAAAGGCGGAAGAAATCAAGATTCGGTCAAATTACCTCATCAATGAACGTAAAGTCATCTCTATGTACACCAACTATGTGAAGTGAAAAGAAGAAAAGGCGCTATGTTGAGCTCTGGATAAAATCCAAGTTAAGGCTCCTCCAATCCCAGAGCTGCGAGAAGTCCCCGAGGTCGACGTCGGTGATGTTGCCTAGACCGTAATCGATATTGAGATCCTGGGGATGATAATCAACGTATGTTGGAGGAACCATGCCACCCCCAGTATGGTCAGCATGTGGCATTCCATAAAGACCTCCTTGGACAATGCCATCGATACCGGCGCTTGGTGATGGGACTTGCTGAGGTGGCATGTGGCCGGGCGCGACACCCATGTTGTAAGCAACCTGAGGTTTCGCATACCCTTCGGCGGGGACTTGGTTGTTCATGACATAACCAGTGTTCTCATGGTTGTCATAAGAAGAGTGAGTGCTCTGCGGCGTCGATCCTGAAGGCGCGCCTTCAGAACTAGCGTAATAGCTCGGTGAGCTTTCCTGTGACACATGCTCCGGATGATATCCATCCTCAGGCTTGATAACGACATCATGACGGGTATTTGTGGCTGGTGCTGCTGGAGAAACTGGACCGACTCGTTGTTTCTTACGATTCACAGTCTCACGTGGCGGTGCCGATCGTCTGGGCATCTTCTGAACCATCTTAACAAGAATGTCATGAGATGTCTTTGCTGTCTTCGATAGAGCCTTGAGACGCTTCAACAATCTGATCGCATTATCCACTGAATCGACGATCTCATCCTTTCTAGGGATTGTGTCGTCCTGATCTTTGATAACAGCAGTGGAGAGAACTGCGGCTGTATCGAAGAGTGAGAAGATGATAAAGTGGAATCTTGCGTCTCGATGAGAAGCATGATCAGCCCACCGAGTAGTCGTGTCCAAATTCTTGAGGGAATAGAAGACTGCATCTTTTCGGACAGCGAGTAAATCCGCAGGTGAATTCCGCGTATAAACTTGCGCCATGAACGCTCGCATAGGGTTCAGAATCATAAGATATGCCATCGTATGGATATAGAACCGGTGGTAGACAATCCATGGAAACTTATAATCCTTCGACGTGTCAGGGTTGTCGACATCATAGACTGCAGGGAAACGTCGGATCCAGTCCTCAAGCATGGACTTATACTCTTGAATATCGCTTGCTGAAGTGATGTTCTTGGGAGCACCCCATCGCTGCGCGAGCTGAGTGACCAGCTCTGACTGAAGTTTCATATGCAGAAGTGGTGAAGGAGAAAAGTCTTCGAGTGTGAGACTTGGTGGCTCCACGTTGATATCACTGTGGTCAATGATCGTCGGACGACCTAAACCAGAAGCAAATTGCCTGAAAATAGTCAGGATATCATGCACCTAGGCTTTGGTGGTTTCACTTACCAATCCCAGCAATCCAAGATACACCATACTCTCCGACGCATCTCGCGTTCAAATTCTGATAGCCCTTCAGCAATAGCAGTTCGATGAAGACCTGGTGCAAGAGTTAGATCACTGGTATCGCAGGAGATCGAACGTACTCACCTAATTCATGTGCCTCTCGAACAGCAGCACCAATAACATGCCACGCCTCAACAAACTTCGCTTCCGACTTGTACCAGTAGATTGAGTGAAGCATCCACTGAATATTGAGCAGATGACAGTGACCCACCGGAATCACTCTTCCGAGTTCCGTAGCGGCCTTATGGTATTCGACTGTTAGCTTCTCGGCAGGTTCGGAGAGCTCAACTTCGACAATGGGCTTTATCTCAACATCCAGATGCTGCGTGGCACATGCGCAGACCATGACGAGCAGGATAGTCCATTGAAGAGAGAGCGACTGATTACGATTCCTTCGCTCCCACCATTGTTGATATTCCTGGAGGAAAGTTGGCGGATAGATAATGTAGTAGTGATAGTTCATGTTGTTGAAAAAGCTCTGAACAAGAGCGTCTGGCGGGTCGTCAGTTAACAATTTCTTGAAAACATGGTTACTTGGAGTCACTACTTACCCATCTGAGGGCGACCAGGCAAGACATCGATAGCATGCTTGAGCTGGGGACAGGTACTGGGATGGACCCAAGTCAGTTCGCCCAGAGGCTTCTTGTCCTTCTGAGATGAGTTTTAGTACGCAATTCAACTGAGATGGCATTTTTTTTCAGAGTGAGGAGAATTTCCTTACCTTTGCATCGATAGTCAGTGACTCAAAGAGAGGGCCAGCGGCATAGCCCATGGCTCCCAGCCCAACGTCGTCGTCATCCTCATCAGGCTCGGAGTCGTCGGGTTCAACGTCATCCTCACGACTACGCGAGCGCTTCTTATCGCTATTTGGCGTGAGCCCGTCAGACGGTGAGCTCGCAGTAGTCGCCTGAATGAAGCGGCATTTATCTGCGACCTTGCGCTTCTGGCAATGGTTGCAAGGCCATTCTCGATTGCACTGCTGGCAGTGAGTACAGGGACTTCATAGGCCCCGCGGGGCGGTCAAGAGGTGCCCCAGAGGGTTTGCAGGTCATCTTTGAAGGGCTATGACGTACCTTTTGCTTCCTGCGATGACACTCAGCGCAGGCCGAGCGATATTGAACTGTATGCGAGCTGTTATCCTCCATGTTAGTGTGGAGTTGACGTGTGGAGATCGACAGGGAGCGACGCGAAGAATCCAAGGATGGGCAGAGGAAAAACTTTGTCGCGTTATTCCGGAATTGTTGTAATTGAATACGGAATGGCTCTTGTCTGGTTGTGGTCTAGTCTAAACGGATAATGCCGCCCGTCTGTCTCAGAGCACTTGGTGTTCCTTTGTTTTTGTCCAGAGCCTCGGCAATTGATTTATGATGATGTTTTAATGATAAGTTATCTCTTCAAACAGGATTTCAAGAGTTGCAGACCGTCCAAGTAAAAGCTACCCCTGAGAAATGAATATCGGTCCGAGTTTCGATCACCAAGAACGCCATCATCGCCTACATCTGGGACCCAAATCTGTTGTGGCACCTGAGATGCAGCCAGCCTCGGGCTACACGAAGTTACAAAGCCACATTTCTCACACTTGAGGCAATGCATTCCAGACTAGATTGAATGGCTTTCTCATCTTTGCGGGGTTGTGACATGATGATAGGTTGTAATGCCAAACGCCTTTCCGGCAAGGCTGAAATAGACTCGCATATTATTCGCCCAACGTCGCACAAAGGTTCCAGACTCTCAATTACGGGTAAAGATCCCCTTGCTAGGACTTAATAAGAGCACTGCGCAAAAAAGGTTCAATCATACGAACGGCTGATGTCGCTGATGTCCGAGCACGTATGCGTCGCTATCAGCAGTGTCAAAGCTCAGACTTACGTGGCAATCAAGGTGAAACTAGTGAATAGTAATCACGGGGATACTGGTATTTGGAATTATTCCATTTTAAGGTTCGCGGCACGGCAATTCATACAGCACTCGAGCTACGCAAAACAGAGCGACCGGCAAGCTCGACTAGGTCTAGGCTCTGGATTAGATGCTTCCACCACTCTTCCATGGTATTGATTTGCCAATCTCCAGGTTGATCTTCACACATCGGTACTGATGTGCCGAGAACTATAGGCAGGGTTGTGAGTTCAATGAAAACGTGCCTAAGTCCGATCGGCTTCGACAATGAATGGTGAGCGGTGTGTGAGAATTTATAGACAGGTAAGAGCACATTTTTAATGGTCTCAGATGAAGCCTCGGCCATAGAATCCGCATACCGACATTCTATGATGTTAAATCAGCCTTAAGAATACAAAATCTTGAGTCCGGCAAAAGGCAATATCTAGATATATATAGTGCTGTCGTCGTTACATTCCGCATCCTTCCTCTTAAGTAATTTCAGCACGGCTTCATTGGTCAAGCAAGTGCCGACTTACTTTAGTCCTTTGTCAAGCTTTGTCTTATATCCTTCAAAGACTTGATCTGCTTTCCGTTTGTATCAAAGTTGTTCTCGCTGAGCCAAGCCTCAAATGCCTTCTTAACAAGAGGCCACTCTTCGTCAGTAATGCTGAGCCAAGCTGTGTCTCGACGCCTTCCTTTAAGAATCATATGCTTTCTATACCAACATGTTAGCAGGCGTTCTCAAGAAATGGAATCTATAATAAATACCTGAAGATACCCTCAAAAACAAAGCCTAATCGCTCAGCAGCTGCGAGACTAGGTTTGTTGAGATGATTGGCTTTCCACTCGACTCTTAGATAACCAAGATCCTCAAAGGCGTGCTTGATAATCAGATAAAAGGCTTCAGTGGCAGCACATGTCTGTTTCAACTGAGACCCAAAGATGATACTCCCAATTTCAATCCTTCTATGGCTTGGAACGATGTTGAGGTAAGACATTTGCCCAACAGGTTCAGACTTGGGATCATCGCGTGGCCCAGAGAGAACAGTATAGAAGAATGGATCCTCAGACTTGCTGAATCCTTCAACAGCCTCTCTCCATTGTTGCTGATCAAGGTATGGTCCTCCAAACATATATGTCCAAAGATGACCGTTTTCCTCGCCGCCAAGGTGCTTCCAGCTTGGATCGGCGTGAGATGGTTCCAATGGGATAATAGAAGTGTAGCGTCCATCAAGGGACCCACGAGAGGGTGCGGACGCGGTGCCCGAGGGTGTAATTGGACCAACTGGTTGTTCACTCATGGTTGTAGACGTCAAATATAGGGCTTGAGTTCGTTTTCGAGAGTTTGGAAGTCTTGAGCTTAATAGTAGAAACTCGGGGCTCGGATCCGAAAGAAGACAGAGTTCGGGGCTTATCTCCGAATGTGAGTCAGCCTATGACTACGCCCTCTGGTTGACTGCTGCAGATAGATAGTGAGTCACGCAATTTCTGATAACCAGTTATGGTTAATCCGTCGTATATAGGAACTTACCAATACTAGAAACTCGATTCAGATACAGGAGCCTATCAAATGTTTCGACCAAACGTCCTGCATGACAAGGAAGTATCGGGTGATCTGGTCGCGTAGTCACGTTGCCATCATAGACGATGGGATGGGTTTCAAGGAGCCTCAAAGTTGAGCTATGCTGTTTTAATCATCCTATAGACTACCGTAAATCTATTGATTATCTTGTTTACGATCTCTCCAAGCTTCAAGGAACACTTGATTTTCGTTCAATTATGATGGTCAACAGAAGCGCTCTTGGCATATGCTGTGGCACTTCAAAAACTGGTATCTGAAACACTGCATTCAAAAATATCAAGTCATCTTTATTTTGGAAGTTCTCAGTCGTATTGTGGTATCGAGTATGTAATTCTAGGCTTTCGTGACACTTTGTGAATTTCTGTTCAAAGACATCTCAATTCCCTTTATCTTGGTGAGTTGACGTCAATCATTGCCAAGTAATCTTCACAGCCACCATGAATCCATACATCATGTACCCTGGAGCCACTTTTTGAAACCCAGAAGCGCCTTGCTTGACGATCGAAGGATTCGCCAAGCTAGCAACTCCCAATCATGCAACACAGCGCCACAAGGAACCTGTTCTAGTAATGTCATGTGAATCCTGCGCCTTGCTAATAAATTAGTGATTGACCGTACAGTCCCCACGTTGGGGTAAATTCAGCCTTACAGTCCATCAAGCATCAGTCAAGATTTAAAGAACGAAATATCCACTTGGAGCTCAAATAATTCTTTCTAGAATCATTCTAGTATCTCAGTTCTTAATATTCATTTACATTCAACGATATATAAGATGACAGACAAGAAAGGCCCTGGCAAAGCTGACCAAGAAATGGATTGTTCCTCTTCAGCGCCAACAGAGCTTCCTCCTTCATATGATATCACTCTATCTCAATCTGAGTCTCAACAAGATCAATTACAAGCCACGGAAGACTTTCCTACTCTGGTTCTTGATGGCACAAACATCTACTCCCTATACGCGCCTAATCGCATACTCTATCAACTTAGCAATGCACCATACGACGCCACTCGGAAAATCTATGCCATTGAGAAACTACGATACCGCATGACGAATGGCGGCTCTGAACAAAAGCTAAAACACACTGTCGATCATATCTACGACTTCAGGCACGGCATCTCGATAGAGTCATACAAACAAATCACTATCCTGGGACAGACGAGTCGGAAGCGTACTTATCCCAACATGATCATGCACCGCTGTCTCAATGGCTGCCACACGATTTGCGAAGGTGGCCAAGTGAAGCTCACCCCAGACTATGTACTCAAAGCAGAGTCCCCTCTGAAAGATCGGCTGAATCAAGGGAAGAATAACACCACCACATGGAAAGACGAGAAGGGAGAGGTGGTTGCCATTGAGACGAAACTCCAGCGTGATGAGAATGGTAGCATACAAGAGCTTCCAAGGCTTGCCATCAAGGCTAGGATTGAAGAGAAGCTGTATGATCTGTTGGTCACTTCTTGGTGTGCACATGTCTGGAAGGATGCCCAGAAGGATTTGAAAGAGCCAATGAGTTGGGATAAATGTGAGCCACAATATTGTCATCCATTTTGAGGATCTTTGCTGACCAATGACTCTAGTCAAACGGATTGCATCGACCATGCCAAATAAATCAGCAGGTATATACGGCGGGGCCGGAATCGGCGGTGCTTCATTAGGCTTCTAATCTATCCGAAATGCCTTTATCCAAGATGTGATAATGTGACAGCGAGATTACAAAATACGAAAATCCTTCGATTAAATCATTGGGTGTCCTCTTGCCTGTGATTTTGTCCGAGCGCTTCTTATTCGTGACGTGCTTTAGCCTCGTCACACGGCTCGGCTTGATATATAAAATTGATTGTCTTATCACAATTAAACAGCTTCGCGCCCAACAATTCTTTCAGCGCCATCGGCTTATCGTGCGAATTGACGAGGCTGATAAGGTCATTTTGAGTTCAATACGTCTCTCAATCTAACGAAAATTGATCTCGGTTAACCGCCACTGAGACTCGGCTGAGATATTTATCCTGAAGCACAAACACGGCAAATCCCGCGATTTCTCATGATACATCACTGATGCAACGCAAGCGGTGCAATTGGATCCTGAATCGGACGTCAAACGCCTCTGATCGTTTGCACGGATAAAAGCTAATCGTCGAAATATGGATTGTTCTTTGCTTGTGCATGGATGCATTGATAATGTTCATGATTATCGACCAGGATCCACGATTTGCATAAACACGGGCTGACCGGTACAACCTTATGCTATGCTTAATATAGCTCTCCACTCGTCAGAACAAGCATAGAGCTCGTATTGTTTCGTGAAACTTCCCTCATCACCTGCCAAGATAACAGTTCCCGCGCATCGCCCAAAGCCACCCGTGAAATAACCCAAGGACTAAAGGGCTCGAACAACGGGATCATACCCAAACAAACGCTCGTGGAAAGAGTCCGGTGATGCTTCCACCGGAAATGTGCCCCTTTTAGCGTCCTCGTGGCGTGAGCTAGCCCAAAAACCAATTTCTCTTGGCGGACGCCGGTGGTAATTTAAACCACCAGGGGTAGGGAAGCGAACAGCTCCCCTTGGCGAGATGAATAAAATGAAGGGCCACCCCTAGCTTTTTCAGCTGGATCTCAGCTGTTCCTTTGCTGGCCTTGGTCACGTTTCTGAATGAAGTCGTAGACGGAGGGCAAAGAGTCCAAGATGGCTCCGACAAGTCGCATCGCCTTTTTGGCGCTGTCATTCCTCCTCTCAGGCCATTTCGCAGCAGCTGGTAAGCAGACGGACAGCCCCTGAGATGAACAACCATTAACACGCGATTGAACGCGCTAGAATGCGACATTTCTGGCAATTACACGATTATCGCTGCACCCGACGACCAAGATGGAGTTCAATCCTGCAAAGATGTCGATGGCTCTTTGTCGCTCCTCTTCGATAAGGATCCCTCTTCCTGGCCATCCGACAAAGCTACGGTAGATCTCGGCGACATTAGTTCACTTACCGGTGACCTTGTCATTTATCCCCACCACGATTCGAAGAAGACGGTTGTCACGGCATCGAATCTGAAGACAATTGAAGGAGCCCTTACGATATGGAACACAGGAACCGGGAAGGACCACACAATTGAGGAGTTCGACTTGGTATTCGACGCGTTGGAGGAAGTTGGCAAGGATTATGTTATCACGGAAGCTTTTGCCAAGCTCTCACTTGAGCACAAGACTGATATCACGGTGGGAGGTATGGCGAGAGTCTACGATACCGATGTGGAGGAGTTGCAGTTGAACGGAGTGTATACCGTCAATGGAGACTTCTCAATCGACTCTAACAGCGATATGAAGGAGCTGGATGTTCCGACTCTTACCTACGCCAACAAGGGCCTCATCGTCAAGGGCAACAATGCTCTTGAGAAGGCCTCATTTGCAAAGCTGAAGGGTGTCAAAGGAAATATGCAGTTCAACCAGAATGGTGCGCTGCAGACTATTTATCTCGCTGCCCTCGAGTCAGCTGCGACTATGTCTATCACCGCTAACGGAAATGATGCTACCGTGCTGTTCCCTTGGCTGTCGTCCATCGGAAACAGCACTACTACTGCGACCTCAGACTTCAGCGGACTTGGCAAGATTGAGTTTTCATCCCTACGCACGGTCAATGGTTCACTGACCTTTGAGTCTAATTCGTTTGAGGATCTCACTATTCCTTTGTTGAAGGAGATGAATGGTGCTATTACTGTGGAGGACAACCCTTCTCTGACCACCTTTGCCTTGCCGAGAGTTACATACGTGGATGAACTAGACATCAGCAGCAACGACAAACTCACCAATATTACAGCGAACGCTCTCAAGTCCGCTGGCACAATTGCGATCAAGGGATCGTTCACAAACGTGGAGTTCTTCAACCTGAAGAAGGTTACGGGAGATTTCAAGGTCTCCGGTGATGAGTCTATGGACTGCAGTTGGTTTGATGCTAATATCAAGAGCATTGTTGAAGGAAAGTACACTTGTGTCGGAGATCACGACAAGAAGGAGAGGAAGCCTAGTACTGGAGGCATTGAAGATACCGAGGGCAACCCTAAGGATTATATGTCATCCCCAGATGACGATAGAGGTAACGGTGGTAGCGGCGGTGGCAGCAGTGGAAGCGGTAGTGGCTCGGGCAGTGGAAGTGGGAATTCTGATGGTGTCAAAGGGGGCTCAAAGGGAGGGCTTTCAACAGGAGCCAAAGCTGGCATTGGGATCGGTGTTGCCATCATCGTTGTTCTTCTTATCGTCGGCGCCGTAATGTTCTGGCTCTGGCGCCGCCGTCAAACCGCAGCACCCGGCGAAAAGCGCCTCGGCAGCAGTGGCAGCGGCTCAACCAAGAAGGGCATCTTTGATGGGCAGCAAATGGGTGTCCAGACAAAGATTGAAGCCACCAACCCCAGCCCATCTCCTAGCATCGGCACTTTGAATTTCGGTCGCAACTCCCTCATCGAGTCGACTGGCGGCTTTACCGAGAAGAGTCTCAATGCCTGGAAGACGATCCGAAGAGTCAGTGTTTCTTCAGGTGGTTCTTCAACTGTCAAGGAGGGAACTAGTATTCTCAAGGGTTGAAGAGGAGAGAACAGAACAGATAAGATGGCGAGTGTTTAAACTGCAATTCAGCGTATAGTGATACCACAGTCCTTTAATAGACATCAGCAGGAAACGGCCTGTATCTCTTTTCATAGGGTAATTTTAATACTATCAGGTTAAACAGTCTATCAGAATTCACTCACTCACCTCACTCATCAGTCCACTGTCTACCGTACATCAGAGATAAAGGAACGTCAGCTAGGACTCCAATTGAACCGCTGGACCCTTAAATTTCCAGGAAAAAGAATGGCAAAGAAGAGCTGAACCACTTTAAAAGAATCCACGCAAGACATTTGATGTGGAGATGATCTCCAACTTTTCTCACTCAATCACAAAGCTTCACATGCGCATCTGAGGCTTCTGACTTGGTGAAGAGAGACCCACTGCTGATTACGAGAGGCAAGAGCCCCTCATCAGCAGAATCCCTTAACAAATGATCGTCGTGCGGTAAAAACACCAAAGTTGTCATTTTCATTCATCTTGACAGTCAATCTCTTGCACTTGACTTTTCTGTTGCAATTGAACCTTTTGTTGGGCATATTATACTGCAAAAACGCGCGTTGGCTTTATCGCTGCTAAAATGACGTACCCCCGTCCCGATTTCGAGCGTAGCCCACTTCATTGGGAGTCCCTCGACGGACAATGGGATTTCCTCTTCGATGATGGCGATTCCGGCCTCAACGAGAATTGGCAGCGTAAAGGCCTTCCAGAGAAGGTCAATGTCGACACCTCTGCCAATCGCAAAGAAACTGGCCAGAACGACAGCGTGGTACAGAAGATCATGGGTGACGCCCATTCTCTCATTCAGAACAACGTCTTTGCTTCATCGACGCAGACTACCAACTCAAAAACCAAAATCAATGTTCCGTATGTATTCCAATCTCCTGCTTCTGGTATCAATGACCGTGGAGTTCATGAGGTTATGTGGTATGAGCGTGCCATCTCAGACTTGCGATCAGCGCAGGAGAAGGAGAAGGGTCATAAGCTGGTCTTGAGATTTGGTGCTGTTGATTATGAGGCTACTGTTTGGGTCAATGGAGAATATGTCGGTGGTCATCGGGGTGGACACGTTCCCTTCGAAATTGACATCACAGATGCCGTGGACGCCGCCAAGGATGCTACTACCCACCGAGTCACTTTGCGCGTCTATGATTCGGCATATGATCTGACACAACTTCGAGGCAAACAATACTGGGCTGCTAAGCCAGAGACTATCTTCTACACTCCCTCTGGTGGTATCTGGCAGTCTGTTTGGCTAGAGGTTGTTCCCAGTGCTCGTATTACTGATAGCTCTTATGGCACTGTTATCAAGTCCAATGATATCCACTCTGGCCAGCTTCGAAGTACCATCGCCGTCAAGGGACGAAGAATTGGAAAGGACTATTCCGTCGAGCTCGAATCCAGCTTTTCTGGTATTCCTATTGCTAAATCGGACAGGAAGGCTCTTCCCCGAGAGACGAGTTCCGTTGGCGTTGAGCTGAACATGCGTCTGTCCGAAGAGCAGAGATCCAAGCTACCCAAGTCTGTCACTGAAACTGCGCCTCTGGACAACGACTTTGCTTGGCGCGATGGTGTTGCACTCTGGTCTCCTGAGCATCCCCAACTCTATGACCTCGTCATTCGCCTGTATGATGACGCCGAGAATGTCATAGACGAAGTCAAGACAACCACTGGCATGAGAAACATCAACTGGACAACAGGAGACGGTACCTGGCGACTCAACGACAAGCCCTACTTCCAGGCTCTCTGCTTAGACCAAGGCTACTGGCCTGAGACCTTCATGACTCCTCCTAGCTCCGAGAGCCTCAAGCTGGATATTGAGCTCGCCAAGAAGATGGGTCTAAACGGTTGCAGGAAGCACCAGAAGGTTGAGGATCCCCTCTTCTACTACTGGGCCGACAAGCTTGGTTTCCTCGTCTGGGGTGAGATTGCGAATGCTTATGCGTTCAGTGCTGAGTATGTTGATCGATTCAACGCCGAGTGGACTGAAGCTGTCAAGCTGGTTATCAACCGTCCATCAGTCGTGACATGGACTCCTGTGAATGAAAGCTGGGCTTATCCTAACCTCGAGGATAACGTTGATCAGCGTAACCACATTCGTCAGCTCTACTATCTTACCAAGTAAGTATATCGGCTTCAATTTCAGACTAGTGCTAACAGCTCTAGGGGCCTTGATGATACACGAAGTATCAACGATAACTGCGGATGGCAGCATGTCCTTACTGATCTAACCACGTTCCATGACTATAGCGATGGCCCTGAGATCGAAAAGACCTGCTCCACTCTTGAGGGCATCATTGGCCCGAAGGCTGGTCGGGGCGTCTTCCTACCACCCATTCCTGGTGTTGACGAGGGCTCTACGCATAAGCCTGGCGCTCCAGTCATGAACACCGAATTCGGAGGTGTCAACATTGCACCAGCCAAGAAGGAAGATGGCGATAGCCTCGATTGGGGTTACACCACTGCCACCAACGCTGATGACCTGGTAGAGAGAATTGAGCGCCTCGTCAATGGTGTTGTTTTAGGAGGACACTGCTGTGCTTTCGTCTATACTCAGCTGTAAGTGTGATTTGACTCCTGTGTTGATATGGGACTAATGATATGTAGGGCGGATATTGAGCAGGAGGTCAACGGACTGTACACTTTTAACCGAGAGGAGAAGTTGGATGCTTCCAAGGTCAAGACTGTTATTGACAAGGCTCTCGGTGCTTACTACAACAGGGTGAAATAAGGATCACGCCAGGTATACTCTAGATAGTGCGCCGAGTTGAGGCTGGCCTCTGGATACTTAGGTCCGAAATAGATATGATACGAAAGACACATTCTTTGCATGATTACGTACCTGAGTCCCCCATAGTTCCTGAAATATAACCATAAAGATAATTCCAAGTGCCTCAGCAAGCACAAACATACTATTTCGAGACTCGTCGAGTCGATATATGCCAATGAAATCGATCATGGGCTGATTTATCCTTTGGCATTATTCGAATTTACAGCTATCCTCTTATGAGATTGGCCCATATGCCTATTAAAGATTGAAACCAACCCCACTTTACTTCCGAAACATAGTTTCAGACTATCAAACTCGGCGCCTGTATCCATGGTCCTTGAAATGATGGATCGGCCAAATTGCACAAACAATCATGCTTACTATATGAAACTCTAATTGGGCGATCTATCAAGGTAACATAAGTATATCTACACAGAATGAAAGTTCGTGATAAAAGTAATGTCAGACAGATTTTTGATCGTTGCATGCTGGGAATTCATTTCTATGTCAAGCCTCGACAAAGAATCGGACGATGTTTGCTTTTGTGACACAGTGCTAGTCCTCGCTAAGAACGCGGCCAGTCCAAGTTTGATGATCAATTGAAAATCACCAAAACAAGACAAATTTGTTATGTAACATGACCAAAACACTTCTCAATAATATCTTGGAGATTCTCACATAAAATCAAATCATTACAGCCTCGGCATTGACCATAATATGGCATCATGAGTTCATGACTGCGGGGATCGGGAAAAGAGCTGTCATATCACGTGATTTTACATGAGATCGGGTCGACTCACCAGACTTGGACCCGACGCTCCATGATGTGGCTGGGGGATCATCACCAGTTCAATCACGGCGCCAGACCCGGCTTTTTGCCCGCGGTTGGGAGCATCACTATCTTATCGCAACCATCACAGTATATGATATCAGTTTTGTTCCATTTAATTGTATGCTGTAGTCGCGCGCGCTTCCTCTCCCTCGCCTCGCCTCAGGCGCGATGCCTTCGACACGGCCGCCAAACGCGCAGTCGCCCATCGTCGATGTCGACGGCGCCCTCGATAACATCGACACCATTCGCATCCCCGAACCCCACGGTACATATTTACAAACACGCGGAGCTCGCGCAGCTCGTCGAATATACAAAGCTATGGGCGTCTGGCCATGGGACATTGTTCCCGAAGCACCTCCTAAGATGTGGGCCATCAATCTGCTAGAGGATCTCGCTCTTGTCGCAGACCATGTTGCCAGAAATCCAGGTGATACGCTGCAAGACCTTCAATCAGAGCTTCGGAAGTCTCTTGCGCGCGATCGCAAACCTTCTTATGCTGGAAAATTGATGGCGCAGGATGTTCACGCTGCAAAGAAGCGATTCGTTCGAACAATGCCTCAATCCCCCGATGCTCAAGACGACACTGGTGACGATGTTGGTACTGCCGAGCGACGATCCGGACGACGGCGAAGAACCGCAAACTATAGCGCTCCAGACTCACCAATTGACCCATCGCGATCGCGTCGAGATACTTCTTCAGAGGAGAGCGAGGAGCACATGGCCTCGTCTATTACCGTCGCCTCAGAGTTTCCTCCGTCTCCCCCTGTACCTCGCAACATCAAGCATCTGAAACGGCCAGCCACAACAATACCCACACCAATTGAGAAGCGTGTCCGTCATAGTTCGCCAGAAGGTTCGCGCCTGTCGGCTGCGCAGAGCCTTATGATGTTTAGCTCTCCGATGGCTACGTTCCAAATGGCCACATCTTTCGGCCCAAATGCAACTGTCTGTTTGGCCAATATGCGATGAGTCCTTATGCTGATACATTGATAGGCCAATGCTACTCGTTCTCTCGAACCGAATAATCTTCAGGAAGCGTTAAAACCCGCCACTAATGCCTTCGTCGCAGCAATTGACGCACACGTCCGGACGATACGTTCCTCGCTTGCCATTGCTCAACAGGAAATATTTCCTCATAGGTCCAGGTCCCAAGAAGCTATGAGCAAACTTCGCGCCGCCCAACTGGGCGTACAAGCGATCCAAGATGACATAGCTGAGTCGCAAGACAGGCTGCGACGACTTGTCGAAGAATCCGTCGCCGAGGACGCTCTTGCGCCACAGCTCCATGCACTCCAAGAAAACAACATGTCTTTACCGCCGGAAATCGCACAAGCAATACGAAGCTATGAGAGTCGCCGTGCAGCTAAGAGCGAAGAGATAAAAACCCAAGAATCAGCCATCAACGCTAAACGCGATGAGCTAAAACGAGCGGCCGAGGAACTCGACATAGCGGAGAAGAACTCGGGCGGCATAGAAGCCGACATTAGAGATCTCCAAGCGGCGGTGACGCGTGGAACAGAAGCAGCCCGGTTCGCCAACATGTTTAGCGTGATGGTGCAGCTGGGACCGGAGGGATTGGCGAACATTGAACAGATATACCCAGAGATTGGCTCTCTACTTGAGTCGCTGCTCGCGTCGAGGAATACCCCTTCGCAGCAGAACCATAACAACAATCATCATGTGCATAATGCGGTGGATGGAGACGAGGCTAATGGATTGTAGGGGTTGGGCACGAGACTAACGTTAGTATAGCGATTTGAGTATTCCTTATATGGCGAGAATAGATTTCCGCATTATCTAAAATTAATTTGACGTTAGTACCAGTTGACATCGCATCTATCGCATCTGATGTCTATTTGGCCAATATTTTCTGATCGAGTTCAGGGTAACGCTAAAGCCCAGTGCTTGGACCAACTCAATTCGTGTCGCTCAGTCGCCGGCTATGGGGTGCTACTCTTTCAGTTCTTTCATCCAATTAGTTAGGTTCCGTGGTCTAGTTGGTTATGGCATCTCGTTAACACCGAGAAGGTCCCCGGTTCGATCCCGGGCGGAACCACGTTTTTTTGGCCATGACTCTTTTTTATCTTTTCCAGTTCGCTGACCCCCACGAAATTTCACAATACAGTCGCTGTATCAAATGCTTTTTGGTACTGTATCGCGGTAATTTGACATAATTGGCCTTTGTTCCGTTGGTATTGATAGCCTGTAATAACTCCAAACAGTCACAAGCATCGACAAACATTGTACTTTTAGCTCTTGTGAGTCCACCACCTTCTGTCGTCAACGCCCTATCTACCGCTGGTCTAGATACGTGCCATTGGAATCGCCTGCACGTTCATAACCGTACTGCCATGACTAGAGAGTATGCTCCACAAGCTTGATCCCCTCGGCTTCGGCTCTGACTCGGATAGGGTCACAGATCTCGCGGGAGTAGGGAGCAATCACGCCAGGCTTGTTGGAGGCTGGCTCGTCGTCAAGAAGCAGCTGGATGGCAATGCCGCAGGTCAACCCGACAGACTTGGCCATGGCCGAGTAGCCGCCAGGCTCCCCAAAGAGTTCGAGGGCCGACGTGCTTGTATTCTATCACAGGTGATATTAGCTACACTTCCTTTTCGACAAGAACACTCGATCGATACTCGCTTTAGTTCCGTCCTTCCACTCGATAACGAACTTGTGTTGAAGCATTAACAGATCTCGCTCACCGACCTGGAAGCTGCATATCTTGTCCAGTTGATCGGAGAGTGCCGAGGGGAGAATCGCGGACGGCAGCGACTTCATCCGAGAATAGCCCCATCCACTTGAGGCCGACCAAGATCTTACTACGTTCTTCGGGGGAGCGGAAACTGCAAACCTCATCTATCTTGGCCAGAAGATCAACCTCAGTGGCAGAAGCTGCGCCTGTAAGCTGCTGCTGAATGTGAGACCACTTCAGACCCTCATTCAGCCAGGCTTTGGAGCCTGTGTCAAGCTAGCCAAGGCCAATCAGAGCTTTTCCTAGAGCAGGGTTGCCATCGTATCTGAGAGAACCCCGGATGACGGCGTGAGCTTCGGCTATTCCATAAGCTTGACGATATGGTACGGAATCTCGATTGGGATACGCAAGAAACGAGTACCCATCAAGAACATGGTATAGAACTGCCTTGTTCATGAGATCCTTGTTGGAAACCTCAATGAGGTTGCCATCTTGGAGAAAGGTAGCGGAAATCTGCTGCGAAAGCAAGGCGCCGCGGGGGGACCAAGAAAACTGGGGAGTCAGAGGTTACACAGGGAGATAAATTGGTACAGGCGGTAGGCCAACGTACCTTGAAACGCAAAGGGTTGTCAGATACTTCAGGGGTAGGAGAATCGTAGCTTGTGGTAATAACGTTTGTATTGCCCTTGATAGCCGATTGAACGATGGCCGCATGGTGGACAAACGGTACGAGAGAAATGACGAGGTCGTGTTCGGCGACGTGATGGCCAAGCTCCGGTGAAGCGACGTCAAGGGCGGCGGCTTTAGCTGAAGACCTTTCAGCTGCAACATTTTGGGTGGAAGAAAGAGTACGGCAGGCTGGTAGTGTCCAAAAAATCAGCGCATCAAAGCTTCAGAGAGGATGGGTAGAACACTGACCAATTGTGAGAACGTTTTTCTTGTCCCGGAGCAGGTAATCAACACATGGCTTTGCAACCATGCCACTTCCCAGAGCAAGAATCTTCTTCTCAGGCATGATGGTAAAATTCAGTGCAATGCTGGGTAACACCTACGGGAATGTTGATCGATCAAGATAGATGTGTTGGACTTGGGAGAGCAATCGGAGTATGTATCAAGCTAATACAAGGAAAGAAAAACCAAGACCCTTCATTTACTTTAGACATCCGACAAGCTATTTTAACAAAGGTTATCATCATAACTTACACACAACAAACCTTGAGAATTGAGTGTCTATACATCAAGGGGCTAGAGCCTTTGAACTTTTGAGCCACCTTGAGAAGCCAGAAGATAGACACTTTTGGCAGGCCATTCCACGCTATTGATTGATTCAAATATCTTCAAACTCTTGTGTTAATATACTCTCGAATTTTATATTGGTGAATAAGCTCCATTCCCAAACCGCGAATAGCATCTTTCGGATACTTCTTGATCCAAGTTATGCTAGGTGAATATAAACTTTCAGACCTAGGTTTTGGCTGTAGATAACACATGGAGTTCATATTTTAGACCTTATACATGATGTAAATAACCCCAGACAGCCAACGAATGTATCTTTGTAACGTGATGAAACTCTGCAATTGACGCTGACTCATTCACAGAAGCCACTGGGGAACCATCAATAAAATACTCAGGCTTATTTAGTAGGGAATACTCACTTGTTTCTGGGCTGCAGCCAAAGATGTAAGCCGGGATGTCAGCATACCGATAATGTTTACAATCTGATCCGCCCATCGAGGGGATGGGAACAGGAGCATCGGCACCTGGTCGCAGGCTCTTGGCGTTGTCCTTCAGATGACTAACGATGTAATGATCGATTACCGAGTAATTGAAGGGATTACTCGCAGCAGCTTGCTTCTTGATCGTACTGCTCGCGGGCTCGTACTGCGGGATGATGGTATCAATCAGCTCCAGAACCGTGTCTTCTCGTATCCCCACTGGCATACGAATATCCAACTCGAACATACATGTTTCTGGGATCATGTTGACTTTGAGACCGCCCTTAATTGTGCCAACGTTAACGGTCGGTCGAGCAATGATTGTAATAGTTCCAGGACCCATTGCTTGATCGATAGCTCGCTTGACCTCCGGCTTTTCCAGACGCCTCTCCATTTCGTCTGGTAGATCGACTGGTAGTGATTCAACTGACTTGATGATCTCATAGATGAAAGCACTGGCTGTTCGGATGGCGCCCTCACTGAGATGAAGACATGGTCCCAACGTGCCTTTGGTCTTGATAGTACATGTCAATCGCAGCGATCCCTTTTCTGCGAATCTGATAGTCTCGAGACCACCTGGTTCAGCACACAGCATGAGGTCACCACCCCATCTGTGCTTGTCTTGTTCAATGAGATATTTGGTACCCCATTTCCCGCCCGTCTCCTCGTCAGCGACAGCGCAAAGGGCAACACTACCCGACAGGAGATGGCGACGCTCGTACAAAAAAGCATATGCAATGATGAGCGAAGCAGTCCCAGACTTCATGTCTACGACTCCACGCCCGTGGAGTCTTCCATCGACTATATCGCCCGACCAAGGATCTCGAGACCAGCCGCTACCGTTCACCAACGGGAAAAACATCGACATGGCCGTTTAGCACGACGCGCGGGCCAGGGCCTTTTCCGCCTTGAAAGTCGCTAATTACATTAACTTTGCCGTCCCCGTTGACGTCGACCAGTTCGTAAGGGATGTTCTTGCTGGATAAAAATTCTCCGCTGACTGCTGTTGCTTTGCTTGTCTCCCCAGGGGGGTTTGGAGATGCGGCCTGCACGAACTTTTGAAGAAAGCTGGTTTGATTGTGTTCATCAGCGGCGAGGGCCCGGAGAAGAGATCGCTTCTGGAGCATGGTGTGTGTACTGCTGCGAATGGGATGTATTGATGGGAAACGATGGTGGTATATGGATACGCTGATTTTATACAATTTGATCGTCGGTGATCATCGGAGAGTTTTGGAGAGGATGATTCACGCTGGCTTTCGGTGACAGAAGCAATAGCTGGGTTTGGGATTACTAGATTGCCTGGATAAAATTTATAAAAAAAAGTATGAAAGCCATTTAAACTTTGTTTTAATTTTACAAACTTATATAAAACCTCCTAAGCTCGTACCTATCATTCTTTTAGATCTCTGCCTAAGGACTGCCAATATCTTCTATTACCTCGAGGGGCAGGCCGGTTGGGGGAGTTAGCCCCTGTAATCGCTGGAATTCCAATGGTGGATTCGGAGCTGTGATGAGTGCGCGATAACCTGCTGTTGATTTCATCCATGCGGGGGGTCATTGACTTTGAGGCTTGATCGTCTTCGATACGTCTCGTCGCATGCGAAGATGGATGGCTGTCAGCCTGTCATGGCGCATACTGGTACAAGCTCGTCAATTGGCAGTCGACACAGAGATGAACAGCGGCAACCGGAGTAGTAAGAAGCCAAGAATGCATTGCTACATATGCTAACAACTATGGTACAGGGGTCTTGGTGGTATCTGCAGAACTTAATTAGAATCCTTTTCTGGAATATCACTCGCCCCCTCATGTACGGGCGCACTACCTTCCTGGCCCTTGAGGACCTGCACGCCAGGCTCGAAGGAACCGTCATCGTGGACTGGCGGTCCAGTAAAGTTCTTTCGAGCATAAGCAGCATACCAAACGATGGCAATAGCGGCAAAGCCAGCAAACACGGCAGAAGCGTAGTTCATGGTACCAGGTTCAACAGGGAGAGAAACGGGCATGCAGAAGATGACGATGGAGAAGACGATCCAGACGACGCAAATACCATTGATGATGGGGCCAAACTTGCCCAGAGGGTAGGGAGAGTGCTTAACGATCTTTCGGCCTCGCACCATGTTGACAGCGACAGGGACACCATAGGAGGAAGACAGACAGATGGTGGCGACACCAGTGAAGGAGTTGAAAGCAGCAGAAGAGCCAAAGTAGATGCATCCGAGGATGCAGTCAACGACGGTAGAGAGGATGAGAGCATTGACAGGCATGTCAAGGCGGTGGTTGACCTTACTCCAGAGCTTGTATCCAGGAATAGCACCATCTCTAGCAAAAGCGTAGGTGCAGCGAGATGCAGCGGTGAGGGCACCAATGCCTGCGAACATGAGAATGCCAAGAATAAGGAAGAGGAGACCGAAGCCACCAGCAGCAGAACCGGTAACAACCTTGAACAGGGTACCGATAGGCTGGGAGTTGGCGACGGAGAGAAGCATCTGAACATCGGGAAGGACGAAGAGAATGGGGATGAGGTAAATAATTCCGGTGACACCGGCGGCAGCGACGGAGAGGACGATGGCCTTGGGAACCTCACGTTCGGGGTTCTGGACCTCTTCGCACATGGCAGCGACCATGCCGTAGCCAGTCAGGACATAAGCACCTATTGGTTAGGGATAGTTAGCGACCGTTTAATCGAAAGGCTTGGCATACGTACCTTGCAGCAGTCCCACGAAGAACGACCAGCCTGTAGGCCAGCCACTTGCCGAAGCATCATAGTGAGTAAAGACGAACTCAGCAGAGCGACGCGAAGGTGCCATAGCAAGCAATGTGACGATAATGATGATGACACTCGCGCCGGTCCAGTAAATGCAGACCTTGTTGATAAGGTCCAAGTACCGCGACCCAAAAGCGTTGACCAAAGCACAGACAAGCATCACAGCCCAGAAGCACAAGACAGTCTGCCATGTATTCGCGACAAAATCCTCATTGAAGATGGTAATGGCGCTAAGGATAAGCTGCGCACCAGAAAAATTGATCGAAAGTGTAACGGTCCAATTTCCCACCAGCGTGAGCCAGCCATCGACGAAGCTGACGATAGGAGCGTAGCGAGGCGTGCTGAGCATGGCGCTCCAGTAATACACGCCGCCGGCCGTTGGGAACACGGCGCAGATCTCGGCGAGAGAGGCGGCGATGCACATGGAGATGAGCGACACGAGGACCCAGCCCCAGAGAACGGTGACAGCTTGGCCGTTGGTCAAGGTGATGTACATTGTCGTCGAGAGACCGAAGGGGACGGCCATGATGGCGAAGGACAGGCCGAGGACGCTCAGCATGCTGAGGTTTCGAGGGAGCTCAGCCTTGTAGCCCAGACGGGCGAGGGCCTGATCGGCGTCGCCGCTTTTGGTGGCAGACTCCATGATGGACAGCAGTTACAGATGAAGAAGCAATTAAGATGGAGGAACAAGTAGAGTGTTGGAATTATGGCGCGGTACTATGTGTACCTATGCTGTGTTGTCGCGTCAATTATGATCAGGGGAAAGTGGGCATTATTATCTTTTTAAAAAAGCAGACGAGAAATGAGAATCAAGGAAACGGGCCGTGAGGGGCCTAGACTCGGCGTCCTCCACGATCTAGGTCCTACTTATCTCTGTCCTGAACGGGTTAGTCCATCTGGGGTACACGAGCATTAGTGGCTTGACATTTCGGTCATAATACCGCTGATCACACGTATTGACGCGGCTACATTCCGCCGTCTGTGCATGTGAGAGAGCGCGATCGCGGCTATTCACCTTCTCCAAATACGAGCCTCGAAAGACAGCAACTTCAGCGATAACAAACCGACGAATTCTCACTTATATCTGATAACAAGGCAGCATCTCCACATGATAAGCATCGACTCATTTCCCATTTCCCCAGATTGAGCTGATACGGATCCCAGAATCTCCTACGTAAAGGCAAGCCCGAACAAGGAATCGATTGATAGCGACCCCACCAGGAGATAACCGCGCACCGAGCTGACACAGCGCGTCAACTGACTTTACTGGGCAGAACCTGTCACCCAAGATCCTCCGTTAATCTTCTCCGCATTCTACGTTTCGTCGGTAGTTACCACGCTTGGCCTCTTGCGGAGACATCCCTGTCTGACTCGTGAACTATCGCGTGTCACGCCTCGTGGGTGGCTTGGCGGTTTAGTGATTCAGCCTTTGAGGGGTAACACCACCGTTACAAACTAATTAGACATTGCATCTGTTGATTGGATATCGTAAAACACACTGTACTACTGTAGTTGTAGTGTTGGACTGCTGGTCATAGCTCCCAATTAGCAGTATAGGACCATCAACCGCGAGCCGCGCTCTCTATCAAGACTACATGATAGCTGGAATATACTCGAATCAGCCATTTGCCGATGCATCCGGCTTGTCATTAGAAGGCGACGTTTAATTTCCATACTCATCCCTCCTAAGACTTCCCATCATCAACACTGCCTGCTTTATCAGGGTCACTTCATGGCTCCCTTAGACCGGGTGCGATCGTGAGGGTGGCGAAGAGATGCTCCGTGCAGCTCACTACACGCGGGTACGATTTGTGAGACTGCTAGACTTGACACTGTGGCAACATCATACAATAATTGCAAATGTTGAGCCAGCTTCTCTTTGCGGCGATATCTGGGACCCCTGATGCAGCACAGATGGACCATGAATGCACGCTGAGGAGAATTTCCAAGTGATGGCATTAGATATTGTTTATCAACATGAAAGTACCTATCGTTTGACTTTGATGTCTTCTTATCGTCTAGCATAATAGTCAAGCCCTTCCTGTTACCATCACGTTCACTTGTAGCGTGGGAAGTAGCAGAAGGATGACTTGTCAAAATCAGTAAACGAGCCCATTTTCTGTGATTTCCGCTCTCCTCATCAGGCTGCTCGAACTTTCAGCTAATTTATACAGCAAGGTGCCCTTCATGTTTACCTCGAAGGGTTGTGGACATGGCATAATCAAGAAAATGCGCAGCTAACCGCGTCATCTTCTCAAGACGCAGTACAACAAGACCAAAACCCCCAACTTTTGAAGAATGATTGAAGCTCAAAAATTGTGATATCGATACTGGAAAGAACATGACGTGGAGTTTGGGCGCCACTTTTGTTGTTTCATTCCATTCATAACCCGCCTATCCAATCATCACTCCTGTTACAGTCTAAGGTGGTAAAGAATATGGATGTCGACTTGTACAATTTCCTTTTTCGCGGTCGCCTTGCTAGGGGATATAATAGAAAGCATATAGTTTACTTATAGCATTGGCTGAACTGGTATCCATCTATGCACACCTAACCTAGGTAACAAGATAGCCCTGATTGTATGGATAAGATGTAATTATATTAACATATTAAGAATCATCACTAGCCTGATATTGAATTCTCTTATCTACACAGAGAGAATTTAAGAGATTAATATCTGTATACAACGGAAGATAATATAAAGCGGAAGAAAATACATTGCTTCCTGTATTAAGAGTCTATTTAAGCATCAAGTAAGCTTACATAATACTCTAACGTAGAGTATAAATATTACCTTTAGGTTAGATCTTATTCCCCAACAAAGCACTTACTCACATGTCACTTATCAACCTTCATACTATATACAATCCGTGCATCTTTAGAAATGTCTGTTCTTCCAACTGTAGCAATCGCTGGTGCGACTGGTAATCTCGGTGCCAAAGTTACTGAGGGCTTTCTCCAACAGCCATTTCGCGATAGGTTCCATGACATCATAGTCCTGGCACGCTCCCGCTCACCCAAGGCCGAGAATCTCGTGAAACACGGCGCATCATTGCGCCTGTATGCCGAGGAGAACTTGCAAGAGGCACTAGCTGGAGTTGA